TCAATTACCCAACTTTTTAGATCACCCTGTATGATTTTTTAAAAAAATTCAAAATATCAAAACAAAATAAATTATGCGTGTTCAAATGGTTTCCCGAAGACTAACGGTTTTTTAAATAACAAATATTGTAATATTTGAGGGGCGTTTTCATCCTCTTGGAATTTGAGATTCGAGAAACCCCCCCCCTATCAAACCTCTACACCTCACAGTCAATCCGTTTGCCAAAAATCAGCTTTAAACATCCAGCAGTTTAAGCAGAATCGTTTAATCAATGGTCATATTTTATGAAACAACTGTATAAATTTTTAAAAAAATCTTAAAATATGTAAAACAACAAAATAAAATATACGTGTTTAAGAGTTTTTCCGAAAAACTCACCGGTTTTTAAATAAAAAATATTCTAATATTTGAGGGGTGGTTTCACCCCCTTAGAATTCGAGTTTCGAAAAATCCCTTCTTATCGAACCTCTACACCCTAAAGTCAATCCGTTTTCCAAAAATCAGCTTTTTACGTCAAGCGCTTTAAGCAGGATCGTGACCAGATTTTTCGAAACACCCTGTACATTTACCTATACATTTTTAAAAAATTCTAAAATATGTAAAAAAACTAAATAAAATATAGGTGTTTAAACTTTTTTTTGGAAACTTGACCGTTTTTTAAATAAAAAATATTGTAATATTTGAGGGGTGGTTTCACCCCCTTGGAACTGGAATTTCAAAAAATCCCTTCTTATCGAACCTCTACTCGCTAGAATCAACCTGCATGCCAAAATTGAGTTTCTTACGTTGAGTGGTTTGAGCAGGATCGTGATTAATCAGTGAGTCAGTCACTTAAGGATTTTATATATTAGTATTTATAATTAGCACCCCATATAATTATAATCATGTAAATAAACGAAAATAAAGTTAACATCTAAGATTTAGCGGGTTGTTTTATATCCCCTATCTCCTGTTAAAGGTTCAATCCTCAAAGTCCAGTCCTCCGGCCGTTCGTCCGGCATTACAAAGTAATCCAATCGTCCAGAAGAGGACTATTAGTAGGTTTTGGAGGACGCAGTTTCAGGCCGTTACTGCCGCAGAATATTGAATATTAAATGACAGCACTAATAACCAATCGAAGTCCTTAATTGATGGTATGCAAATTGGAACCGGGCGAAACGCTTATGTAGGCCAATATGGCCAGTATTAAGGTCTGTTTAGGGCTAAAAATATTTTGACTGGACATATTCGACGTATAATTATTGTAAAAATAAGCCAGTAATGTTAAAATCCTATTGTAACGTTATATTTATTATAGAATCAGACTATAACAAATATTTTCTAGATAAATTCTAGTTAGCTCCAGTGAATAATAGGGATCAATATCCCTGTGCAATGTAGGAACTTTCCATTCTATTTGTAACTAATATACATAATATATTAGTGTATGAGAGACATCTTATTACAAAAACATTTAATCAAATCTGAAATCTCACTTTTATACAACATATCGGTCTGCAATTCACATTTGATCTGTAGGCTAGATAATGAGATAGAACCACTATCGTTTAAAAGTAGTAACCTTAGTCAACAAAGAATTAATACCGTATGATCAGCGATGGCTATGAAATGAAGATGTCATTTTATACGTAAAATTATATGGGAAATGTCATCGATCGTCATTTCCAAGCCAACTGGACGCCGTTTTTTCGATCATACGTTATTTGCAAAATGCAAATTTCAAAAAAATTCCGATTAATTTCTCATTGCATCAAGAAGTGATATTCCTGACCATGTAGGACCCCCCACCCCCCCTTTTCATATATTATTTGCACATTCCATATATTTGCACTCATTTAAGACTCACCCTGTATATATAACTAACAAAACATAAATACCATAAAGGAAATAAATTTAGATTGGAAAGCCCGTCAAAATATATAATTGTTTTGGGTCGCGACCGTTCGACGCGATCTGGCACTGCTATGGCACACAAACAATACCAGAAATGATTTTCTCTTCTCAAAGTCAGAATCTTCAAAAATTATAAAATTTTTCAAAATTTAAACCGCCCTCACTGAAAAAATACCGAAAAGTTTAAAAAATTCTCAAAGTAATTATTGATATCTTGTGAGTTTAATTTAAATTTTACTTACTTGAACTTGTGATAATTGTGAAAAAGTGGCATGAAAAACTAAAAAACTGTGTTGTAAACTGTGAACTGCAAAAACCATCTTGGATCGTGGCATAACATCGGTTTCCAATGTTTCATAGGTATTTCACATACAGGTCCTTATATAAAATAAAGTTTCTTGTATGCAACACATTCTATTTTATTTATAAAATTAAAATAAAATAATAATAAATTTAAATAAACAATATTTGGCGACATAATTCCGGAAAAAGCCGAACCGATCCGAAATTATCAAAAGCTTAGGGTCGCGACCGTTGCAAGAATAGCGCCAAATAGTGTTTACATTGTCCTGATATGCACTTTCCAATCTAAACTTGTTTCATTTATCTATGCATAAATACGACTGGCACGATTGACATTTATCAGTAAAACATTTCATAAAATCTAACTCCCTCGCAGAACATATCACTCTACGATGCACATTTTATCGTTTATTTTATCGGCTACTTAATGAGAAAGCATCACGATCGTTTGGAAGTGGAATGAGAATTCTCGTAGCAAATTTGGTGTAAAACGTGCCAGCGTGTCGTACCCACGGAAAAATACGATCTTAAAGTAGTCACTTAGAATTAATATTTGCAAAGTAGAGATCATAAATTCCGGCCAGTTTCTCACTGCTGGCCGCGTTATGACGAAGTGGCTGGCGGTGGAAGATGATGTAGTTCCGACTGAAAGTAATGTAAAATTGCTCTCGAGATTTATTTCAGAGACGGTCGGTAATAAACGAGACCGGCTCGAAAGTAGGTATAGCTGGATGCATATTCGAAATTATTTCCAACTTCAAAGTTTCGCTATTTAACGCGAATATAGGAATAGAAGTATAATTCAAAGCTCCAAAGAAGATGGCCGTGGCTTGACTACTACAAAACTTGAATGTTATTATCACTGAATATGTTTATAATCATCATGAGATGAACTGGCCTATTTAAAAAAACATATTTCTTTAAATTTAAAACATTCAGTTTTAAGACACTCTGTATACATAAATGAAATTATTGATTTTTAAAATATTATTCGCAAAACCAGGGAGGCGGAAAATCGGACGACGAACAGAGATAATGGGTGTTAAGTAATAGCTTTTATACTACTGTTAAACTGTTCGTTTTTTTTTGGGTTTGTAAATTTGGTCACAAAGAATGTTATTTAAAGACAAAGTAAATGTTTACTCATTATTTAAAAAAAGCATATAGCTTATTTTCGTGTTGTAATATTCCGTGCTAAAGCTTTTCCTTATTTATTTCATCTGAGAATTATATCATATAACATGTGTATGTTTTTAATGGAATCCATTATACTGTAAATAATTTAATTAAAAAGTATCTAATCTAAATACAATCGGGGTTTACTGTAAATTCGTGTCGATGTTTTTGGTTCAATGTGACAATAAGGGCCTTGTTGGAAAATTTATTATTTGACAATACAGTACCTATTAAACATTAAATTTCTAAAAAAAATAAGTTTATAAATAATTTTACCTATATACCTAAACAAAACAATTTAAAATAACAGGAACTGGCAGTTGATATAGTATATGACCGATTTCACGCATTTTTTTTTCTATGGTTTGGTGCAAATAAAATTACTGAAGGTGTAAATACCAAACAATCGGAAAAAAATGAAGATTGCTATTTTTTTGTAAGTAAACTTATATCAGGAATGTTCTTGATCGCCATTTCTGGCCACTGGGCGCAATTTTTTTTCGATCAGACGGTATAATTACAATCAAAAAGTTATTTATACTGATTTAGATTTTTTCAAAAAATAGTATTTTTTTCTTTAATTTTATTGTGTTCAGAAAATTCGACTTGAGATGGAAATCAAGTCGAATTTCCTTTATCTCTTCAACTTTTTCGATCTCTATTTACAACTGTTTTAGATTAACCCACTGCTTTGTAACTTTTGACCTTTTGACAACAAATATCTCCTATTTTTTAAACATTCAATTAACTACGATTGACTATAAACTTCAACAAACCATAAAAAATAAACAATAAACTGAGAAAATTGAAGTTATTTTACATTAGTTAACGGTTACAGATACGGAAATAGATCAAGACTGACTTGTCTCAGCATAAATATTTACCGCTGCGAATTTTGCACAGCGGCTGACTGTTGCTGTTCGTCAGAATAGACCGTTTAGGGAAGTCGCTTACTCAGCCATTCAGCCGCTAACCGTCCCTGAACGCGCTCATAGTCCAAGAGGATCCGTAACAGTGTCAGTCGTGTCATTTTAACTCGCAGGTTAATTGTAGAAAAAAAATAAAGTTTCTGTCATTTCTTAAATGTCGTCTGTCGAAATCTTCCCTGGCTCGTTGGGCAGACTATGGCCCTGTTCCCAGAAGAATCTCTGACTAGTCAGCGCGTTTCTTATTGGTTGAAATGCGTAGAAACCTGACTAACAATCAGGTTTCTACGCATTTTAACCAATGAGAAACGTGCTGACTAGTCAGGGATTCTTCTGGGAACACACCTTATAAGAGTACCTCAAACTCGATATTATCTGTGTACTTTATTGATATAGTATGTCCAACGAAAGAAATCAAGCCATTGACAATTTTTGCCTGTCATTTTAATGTATTTTTTTTATTTAATCAAATCCAGTGACGTAACCATTTTGTTCCCACAAAGATTTTCACTCATAATTTTTTTAAATGTTAACATAGCTCATCAAAACATTTTTTTCTCTGACATGTTTATATAAATTTATAGCTCTTAGTTATGAGATTGAATGTAACGACAGCCCTAAGTTCACATATTAATACTAAACATTAACAAAAACAAATATTTTATTTTTTTAGTAATATATATTACATAAAATAAGTAAAAATTAACAAAAAAATAAAGTTATTTCATACAGTTATATCATATATTCTAACAGAATGATCATTGCTACAACTTGCTAGTTGTAATATTTTGCTGTTGGCATCTTTCTTTTGACCAGCCTCACCAAACTGCGGTCTAAACACTAGTTTCCTCACAGTCAAGTGATGTGCAAATCTAAAAAAATATGCTTAATTATAATTTAGGTAACTGTGACACCGTTTTTTTTTCGATTGTAAGGTTTTTATTCACTCACTCAGTTGATAAGTGTCCAATTTTGTCAAACGTCAAATTAGTGATTTTGAATAGATCAATAGTGCCATTTTCAAAGCCTACTGCCACAATGTAAGCTTCTTCAAGAAAACCTGGACCAAAAGCAACTGCAGTAACTGATTCGTTTGGGAATTCCAATGGACTAGTTGCTTGCCTTACTTGTCCAAGAGGTGGTACAGACTCTAACTGAACATTTTTATGCCACAAAACCAATTTTCCATCTCTAGAGCCTAAAAAAAACAGAAAAGCATGATTAAAAACAAAAAAAGGTTGTCATTTTCAGAGCCAACTTAACACAGCTTTTTTTTGATCACATGGTACTGCATGATCGAAAAAAAACGGCGTTGCCGTCGCTGCCGCCTTTTTTTTCGATCGTATGGTATTTACCTGTGGCAAAATATTGAGAATCATGTGTCCACGCGCATGTCCAAATAATTCTGGTATGTACACCAGTCTCCTTATTGGTTGTGCTAACTAGATCAAATAAACCAGTTCCATTTTTAGAAAATAGTGACCAACGTCTATCTCGTGAGACCGACAGTAAATTTTGTGAGTCTGGAGAAAACTGCATTTGTACCACAGTGAGATTGTGAGATTGTAAAGACTGAATTTGTTCCCAATTAGATGTATCCCTAAAAAATATGGTTAAATTTTATTAAATCAGAAATACTTCATATTTGAAGGGCCCAGGGGAAAATCTTGATAAGCGCCATTTCACTAATTTTACAGAAGAGCCCTGGACAGCTGGTAGTTATCAGGTTATTTCCGTCTATTCTATATTTTACTAGGTATATATCATAGAATTTAACACCTTATAGCCCTGCAGAGTTTATACATGTTGTAGGGATCAGTTAGACCTACGAGCCCTAACAACTATATGTTGGGACAAGGTCTTTTTTTGCAATAAAAATAGTAATTTGTTAAAACGACTCAATTTATTTTGTTTATTATTCTAAATTCAAACATTACAATATGATCTAGGCAATTTTACTATATTTTTATAACTTTGCAAACAAATCACTTTTGATAATAGCTTATTTTGACAAAATCAAGCCAAGTTTGCTGACTGCAAGAAATTTGTTTAATACGGAGTTACATCGCCTTTCGCCTTAACAACTGCCTGAACTCTTAATGGCATTGTATTTACCAAAGATTGGCACATTTGAGGAGAAAAATTATCCCAAATTTCCTGCAGTTTTGTCCGCAAATCAAAAATTGTTTGTTGAGGGTGGTTTCTTAAATATTGCTTCATTTTATGCCACACAGTTTCTATAACATTGAGGTCCGGACTACTTGAAGGATGGGATAGAACTTTTATATTATTATTACCGAACCAAATTTTAGTTGATTTTGCTGAATGGCACTATGCTCCATCTTGTTGGAAAATATAGTCTTCGTTTGGAAACAATTCTTGAACACTAGGCAAAAACTGAGGTCTCGAGAATATGTTGATATTTTTGGGCGTTAATGCCATCTAAAAAATTTAATTTGCCCAAACCTCTTGCTGACATGCAACCCCAAACCATAATCCCCTTAGGAAATTTAACAACCTTCTTTAAGCAATCTTTATGAAAGGCTTCTGCTTTATTTCGTATTGTTCGTTTTCGACGATCTCCAACGCAAACATCAAATTTAGACTCATCGCTAAATATGACCTTATTCCAATCATTTTGTGTCCACGATAATTTAGATTTTTCCCAATTGTAGCGATTTTTCTTTTGAATTTCTGTCAGTAGCGGTTTTTCTTTGGCCTAAATAAGAATTTGTATCAATAATCTTCAGGTAATTGATTATCCACACAAAATAAAGTTTACCTTGTAAAACCCCAGACCGCATTTGTGGATATATTTTCGGCAACATTCTCTTGATATATTTAAACCAGTTACAGTATTCCATTTAACTGTTACTTCGCGAAGAGTACTTTTTCTCGCAGACTTGCAAATTTTTACTAAATTTTCGTAAATCTCTCTGAGATACAACTTTTGACCTTCCCGAACTTTTACCTCTAACGTCTACGTTGGCACATTCGCCGTATTTTTTTATTATATTAAAGACCGTGGTTTTTGGAATACTTAAATCATCAGAAATTTTTCGAATTATTTTTCCCGTACTATATTGACGAATGATAATTTCGCGTAGTTTTTGATTTGTAGCTTTTCCACGGACCATTACTTTGGATTAAATTAACAAAATTGAAAATTAAAAAAATTAAAATTTCTTACAGTAAATCTCACTACTCAAAGTATCGAGTCACTTACAAGCTGTCAATGCTGAAGTAAACAGTTTGCAACATTTGTGACGTTTATAGCAAAGCCGCCTATGATAATATTAATTATTTAAAAATACTTGTCCCAACATTTAGTTGTCAGCTAACTTTTATTAACAAAATCCGCTACTGTAAACATGGATTGATTTACAAATTCATAAAAATATTGTCAAGTTGTTTAGGATATATGGCTATGTTTATATTTAAAAAATTAAACATATATTTTTCAGACATTTTGAAAAATCAGGGCAATAATTCCATAATATGACCTTGTCCCAACATATAGTTGTTAGGGCGCGTACTATAATATTGTAAAATCTTAAAATTAAGAAATTGGCGCTTATCAAGTTTCTCCCCTGGACTCTTCCATTTAAAATTTACCAAATAAAAATTGCTGCATGCTGTAATTTGGTAGATTTACAAGCTGAAGCTAAATATTTTCCATCTGGTGATGCAGCCAAAGAAAAAATTTCATAACCGTGTCCATAGAGTTTTTGAATTTCAGGCCAGAGAGTATTTTGAAGAAGTACTTCTTCAGTTGGGGGCTCTAAAATAAAGTTGGACATAAGATTATAAATTAATTGTTAAAAACATAAATACCACTTTACTCTATTTTTATGTGTCTTAGAACTGTGCTTAGAACTGAAAAAAATTACCTGATAATACTTGGGCAACAAAATGAGACTCTTCCGGATAGGGATTTTTGTTATCAATTGGCAAAGTGTCATCTATGTTGTCTTCAGTATAAACTGCTTTATTTGATAACCCTAAAGAGGGAACCGAAGCACCTTTTGGAACTGATGAAACTAACAAAAACTGAATATATATTACTGTATAATAATATTATTAAATCTTACTATCCCTGCCTTCTTCTTCTAGCTGGCATATTCTGTTTAAATTATTTATGTAAGTTTCTGGCGCTTCAAATACTCTAATCACCTTTTCTTCTGCCCCAGAAGCATACATGTACCTTGAAATTACAGCTATTGAACTTAAGTCGTAGCCATGAACCTGAGGCCTAGCAATTTCATGCCAAGTTACCTAAAATCATTGTTATGCAACTTTCCTATTGTTATTTTATTTAGACTTACATCCTTTTTTAACTTCTGATAAGGGGCATGTATTCTAGCAGTTTGGTCACTACTAACAGAATACAAGAAATCACCTTTAGGATCCCATGATAAATCAACTACTTCATCAAAGTGTCCGCCAACAGTAACCATAGAATCCCATAGATCTTGAGCATTTTTGGTCCAAATATGAAATGCACCATGATAACTATACGCTATTATTTCTTCACTAGTAGAGTTAAAAAGACCTGAACCGAAACCTAAAGTGTTACCACCTACTTCACCAACTCGGATTTTCTCCATCCATAAACCTAAAATTGGAGATCATTTCTTAAAAAACCATGAACACACAGAAACCTACAAAAATGTTAATATTACCTGAGTTGCTATCAAATTCCCAAATGATCATACTCTTATCTATAGAAGCAGACAAAAGCTGCTTATATTTTTGACTCCAGTTTACTGAATATACCCAACCTTCATGACCAGACAAAACAGATTCCAAATATACTGTTAGTGAATTGTCTTTTAAAGTAAGTCGCCAAATTCTAATTGAAGAATCTTGAGAAGATGAGGCTAAGAGTAAGTCACCATTATCTAAAAAAAGATTTATTTACTAAGATTGCAACTTCTAAAAATGGTTTAAATATTTACCTTCGGTGTAAAAGTCCAATCCTATAACCCAGTCATCGTGTCCGGAGAGCCTATCTAATACAGTCCATGTCTTATTCTGTTCGACAAGTAATTCAATTTTTGAATTATCTAATCCACAAGAAATTATTAAATTGTTATCAGAAAATATTCCTATTCTCAAACCCACACAAATTCTAGGATTATTTGATCCAAATAAAAATCTCTGTTGCAACTGAAAATCTGGAAAAAAATAAGGAATACAATACAACTAAAATTAACAAAAAATAAATATACAAACTTACTAACCATCACTGAACTCTCTACGCCATATTCTAATTGAATTATCATCTATAACAGCATTACAAACAACTGTAGAGTGATCCTTATAATAGCCATCAACAATATTTACACTTAGAGTTTTTGGGAGTTCTTTATCATATAAATAAGCGGAATGATATTTGTCATTTTTAAAAGTCCATACAATAATATTACCATCACTTGCACCTGATATCAACTCTTGAGATTTATCAGGGATAGAACCTCTTATCCATCGAACAGAATTAACCCTGTTCGAATGACCAACTAGAGTATAAATTACTTTACCTCCACTTCCATACTAAAATTTTAAAATTTAGATTCAGTATTTACAACAAAATATTAGTTACCTGGGGATCATATACTAGCACAGCATTACAAGAACCATATGCAATAATATTTTTATAGCTGCAATCTAGAGCTGTTGTTGGTACTGGATTGCAATTACTAGATATATAGGAGTTTTTAAAATGCATGGTTTAATGTGAATCTAGTTAATGGTTTAATGTAAGCCAAGACACAAAATTTAACCACTATCGAGATTGCACAATTTACTCATTAGCCAACAGTATCGTGCTGTCCATAGTTTTTATTAAATAATAAACTCATAGAATAAATAAAAAATAAACTGTTTTTACATTCCGTGGATTGGAAAGAATATGGTTATGGTACAATTCTTCCTCCATTTTAGTTATAGGCTATTTTCTAAAAAAATATCTGCTTCTTCTTTTCCATTTAACGACCTGGAGCTGCTAGGAGTATACAATCCGCTATTTATCATATACATTTTCGTATATAAAACTCCAGGGTTGGTGTATTTTGCCAAAATATAATTATAATTTTTACATATTATCATATACAAATGGCAAGTTCTATGGGCAAGTTGGTGGCAAGTGGCAAGTCTCCTGTAAAGCCTTTGTAAAGCGGACTTCGTGTGTGATAATTTACCATAGATAAAGATAATTAATTACATTCAAATGTTCATGTTCATAGTTGATTAATGAGTGGAAAATAAAGAGCCAATAAAAAAAAGGATTCTAAATAGAAATATTTATTACCCTAAAATACTATGTAATTAAAATACCTTAATACATTATTAAGTTTTAAATAGATACATGTATAAGACTTTTATCCTATAACATCATTAATTAATTCATTACAAGTCTAATTTAAGAATAAAAATATATATTTAAAATCAATTTTGAATATCACACAGTTTGTTCACTTATAAAAAATGCTCAAAAAAAATAAAATTCTTATAACAAGATTAAAATTTATGTAAAAACTTCTTGAAAATAGCCAAATCGTTTTGTAGGACTTAGTAGTTAGTAAATATCGGCATATTTGGCATAGAAACCTCATAAACTTCCTCAAAGTAGTATACTGAATTATTAGAAGAACCAAAAAAAAATGTTTTTTTTTTCTTTAATGTGGATTTTGGCACATTTTTTATATTTGTTTAAAGCAAGAATCCATTTAATACAGACAACGACTACAGTAAGCTAGAAACAAACTTTAACAGTAATTTTATTATGCCCATACTTTCTGTGTTTCTAAGTTTATAGGTATGTAGGTAGATATTTGAAAGTTAATAATTATCAAGTAAATTACTTCTATAGCAATAATTTATACTCATCTACAAATATCAAAGAAAAGCAATACAGAATTATAGATTTTTATGATATATAAAAAAATAAAATAAATCCTTAATAAATCTCTCCATTGATTTACTGTATTTACTTGTTTAAAACAAAAAATGTAAAAAAGCACCTATTTATTTAATATTTTAATAAGTATATTAAAAAATACATTATCTACTCATGCTATTATATGATGAAAAATAAAATAGTGCTTTTATAAAATTAATAATAGGGAGATTATATATAAGTAAAAGCTTAATAGATCCACAAATTAGATAATTATTAATATTAAGTTATAGTTATTGTAAATATTAAGTTTCAAACTTTTTGAATTGAGTCCAATAAATATAATTAAAAAATTTGAGCTAATGAGATTCAAAATATAAATATGCATTTTCTCTAACGTTCATTTTGATTGAACTGTCACACAACACATACTGAGCATTTCGAGTTATGTTTTTAAAATGGCAGGACATCATATTTACAAATATACCCCACGTTTCAACTAGCCCACCTTGACTTTTGTAAGTCTATCTGACCCTCCAATGTCTTAGCCAAGTAGATAACAAAGAGCTGAGATAGAGCTATTCCGAGAGCTATTCCAGCTATGGTATATAAATTGCGTTCTGCCCAAGAACGCACTATTTCAATACAACCTGATGTCCACACTTTTTTTGATGCTTCTGCCACCTTAAACAAACAATAATTTAAGTAGGATAATAAGAATCCACAGACACACATACCGATAATGTTTGAACTCCATACCCACACATAATATTCACTAGTCTTGAGCTCAAGTCTGTTGCATTAATACAACAAGAAAACGGAACCCCACAATGTTCAACACTTGGTGAGGTACAATTAAAGTACTCGTTTTTTGACCAATCCATATATCCTTCTGAACTAAGACCGCAACATTTGAACTACAAAATGTATATTAGTAAAATAAATAAAACCAAAAACTTTTACTTACTTCCTGTTGAGCAAAATCTATGAAATTTTGTAAATCTGGATCATCTCTGTATGTATGAATTATTTTGTCAGTAAAATTCTCTTCCAAAAGAGATTGCATTGAATGTGGAAAAACAAATCCAAGAATTGCAATACCCATTTCCATAAGGAAGAAGATCAGTAAACAGAGAGAATACTAAGAACAGAAAATTATTATGAAATACAAATATTATCATAACATATTAAATTAGCACTTACAAATTTCAATAGACAGGTATTCTCTCGAAGAGCTCCAAGGCATCCGGCAAAACTGACTATAAATACAACACCTCCCATTATAACCATTACTAAAGAAACATTTAAAATAACATCATACACATTTTCTAGCTTCACCCAGCCTGTTAATTGCCACTTATCAACAAAGGCATAGAGACCAATGCCTATAAGAAGTCCGCCAAATAACTGAAAAGTTGGTTTTATTAATTTATTAAAAAGATAGCATTTTCAATTCTTACCCAAAATATAAAGTTTAGCAAGAATATTAAATATTTAACACAAGGGCTGACATAAGTGAAATTACTTGCTTGCCTGTAGCCCCGTATATGGCGATTTGAAGCCATTTCAAGAGTTATTTACCTCAATTAGTTATAAAAATCATCTAGAATATATATCTATAATGTTTTAATGTACGTATTAATTAAAAATGTTTATTAATTTTAACAGCATCTATTGTTCTTAACTACAAAAAGCAAAAACATCAACAAATGACAACATTTTGACAACATATCCAATTTGTCAATGTCATTATCCCGCCACAGATCATAAAGAATGATATGACGCTTAGTTCTTTGGCTGTGGTAAGGTTGGATCATATATAATTTTTTTATTTTGTCTAAATTTGTCATATGTTAAAAGTTGTCTCAAAGATATGGAGTGTTTCAAAGATAAAGAATTGAATCACAGAATTGAATCTTTGGATGAATATGCACTATGCACGTATTCAATTTTTTTAACTTTTAAATGTCTCAAATGACAGCTCTTTTCCAGCTGATAATTTTTAAAAGGTAATTTCTAATAAGTTATTCTATTTTCGTAAAGTTAAATGATACCTAAATATTGCTGAAAACTAAGTACAATTGGTTTAATCGGTAGTCTATAATTGTATACATTCTACTTGTCCTTTCCAATGGAGAAAATATATATTTCTCTGTCAGCTAGATTATTCCATATGTAGCTTTAAATTTGCATAATTAAAATATATAAATATTCGGAGGATTATTATAATTAAGAAACAAATATACATTACTTTTGTGTTATATTTTTGAGAGTATAATAGGTAATTTTAATTGGTTACATAAAGTTAATTTATTTTTACTTTTACTTGTGCACTAAAAGTTCATTGTTCTGGTAACAACTCTTTAAAGAACATAGATCACATGTCAGTAACTCTTATTAATGTTTTTTCAAACTTAAATTTGATCTACTATGTTACTATCCACCATAATTTTTATTGAAACCGTCGATTGAATATCGTCAAATTGCACAATTTTTGAAGCATTGGCAACACACGTTTTAGGGGAAAAACTCGCGACTCGCGATGCGCGCTTCTCTCCTCTAGAGAAGATAAGTTGCAATAAGTTGCATCAGTTTTAAAAAAAAATAATCACATCTCTGTATATAAGACTGATACACAACTATAGTTTTGTGACAGTTATTTTTTAATTTCAGACGTGACGACCAATTCTTGTAAAAGAGATTTTTAATGTATTTCCATAATTTAGGAATGCCATCAAGAAAAGTAAAGTGCTTTACTTCTGCAATTAAAGTTTTAATGTCGATGCTAACGTTCATGCGAGCAACGTAAAAAATTATTTGGCGAAATTAAATCAAAGCATTGTAAATCAGGTAACTATTTAATAATAAATAATGAAGCAGATTTAATTTTATTTTTTTGTTCTTAACAGGAGTAACAAAGCAAATAATAAATATGACCGATCCTAAAGAATCTCAGAGAGAATCTCTGAGTTCCTTTGTTGAAAAGAACATTGCAAGGTGTAGTGAATATGACAAAATTTTAGGACGAAATGTCCTTGTTGCGCCATCCGAAGAACAATACGTTTTGCTTCTTAAAAGGCTCAAGCAGCAGTTAGGGGAAGGCAGGGGAGAAGTCATCCTTGAGGTATGTATGTAGAAATCTTTAAAGCATAGTTACATTTATTGTGATATACTAACATTATTTTATAGATAGGAGCATCAGAAGATGGCAGCGAAAACGGACTACTAGATGATGAATTAGAAGCTGCTGTAGCCACTCTTCAATCTTTAGCACAAACTCTGGAGTGCAGTTGTGTTAAGCTAAGAGAACGCAAAGAAATTAGAGGTGTTGTTGTTCAGTATTTAATAAGGAAGGTTTTGGATCAGAGTGGTAATTACTTTATTATTAGTTTTAAGTAAATTGTTTTCATACTACTAAAATTACAAATAATAGATTTCTTGGAAATCCGGGTAGCTGTGGTTGGAAATGTAGATGCGGGAAAATCCACCTTATTAGGTGTTCTAACTCATGGAGAATTGGACAATGGAAGAGGAACAGCCAGACAGAAACTCTTTCGTCACAAACATGAAATGGAGTCTGGAAGAACTAGTTCTGTTGGAAATGACATATTGGGATTTGATGGGGAAGGTAACAAACATTTCCTCAAAATATTTGTATTTTTTATATCTTTCTTGTTTTTTTCAGGAAACGTGGTTAATAAGCCTGAACATGGTTCTCTGGATTGGGTAAAGATATGTGAGAGAAGTTCCAAAGTAATTACATTTATTGACTTGGCAGGACATGAAAGATATTTGAAAACAACAGTATTTGGAATGACTGGTCATGCGCCTGACTTTGGCATGCTCATGGTAATATAGATCTGTAATTATATATAGAAATTATAATGTGTTTGTCTAGGTTGGTGCAAATGCTGGAATTATTGGCATGACCAAAGAACATCTAGGTTTAGCATTAGCTTTGTCGGTTCCAGTTTTTGTAGTTGTCACCAAAATTGATATGTGTCCAGTAAATGTTCTGCAAGACAACTTGAAAATGTTGGTGAGAATTCTTAAATCACCAGGCTGCAGAAAAGTTCCAGTCATGATTAAATCAGCAGATGATGTTGTGATGAGTGCAACAAATTTTGTTTCAGAAAGGTATACTATTCATATATGTTACAGACCTGCATATTTATTTGTATTCTCACCAACAGATTATGTCCTATATTTCAAGTTTCTAATGTAACTGGTGAAAATTTGGATTTGCTAAAAACCTTCTTCAATTTGTTAACGACAAAAATGGAATATCACGAAAATGAACCTGCTGAATTTCAAATTGACGATACATACTCAGTGCCGGTATATGTTTATAAATATCAAATATTAAGATACTGTTTAATGAAGGTTTCTTTATACGTAGGGAGTAGGAACTGTCGTTTCAGGAACTACTTTGAAGGGAGTAATAAAACTTAATGACACCTTAATGTTAGGACCAGACCCATTGGGATATTTTACCCCCATTGCTGTGAAAAGTATACATAGAAAAAGAATGGCCGTTAAAGAAGTAAGAGCAGGACAAACCGCTAGCTTCGCATTAAAAAAGGTTAGTGTATGTTTAAAATGTTAAAAGAATAAAAGTATTCAGATATGTTATGTTTCAGATCAAGAGATCCCAAATAAGAAAAGGGATGGTTATGGTTTCTCCATCGTTAAATCCACAAGCCTGTTGGGAGTTTGAGGGTGAAATATTAGTTTTACATCATCCGACAACAATAAGTTCTAGATACCAAGCAATGGGTAAGTGTACTAGTAGTAACTAGTGTTGGTAGTACTAAAATCTAAAATTCTAGTTCACTGTGGAAGTATTAGACAAACAGCAAGTATTATCTCAATGTCCAAAGATTGTCTCCGAACAGGAGATAAAGCTCTTATTCACTTTCGGTTCATTAAACATCCGGAATATATGACACCTGGCCAACGAATGGTTTTTAGAGAAGGTAGAACTAAAGCTGTTGGCAATGTGGTATGACATACATGAAAATCTTAAAAATACAAAGTATAAAATAAATTTTAATAGGTAAGGATTATAACACAGGCCTCACCGACACATCAAGGATTGAAGACCAAACAGAATAAACAGCAGAGATATGGCCAGGGTCAACAGAAAGCTAATAAAGAAGTAGTACAAAAAAGTAGAGAGGAAAATAGTGAAAAAATACAAATTGAAGAGAAAGAAAATTATTTACAAGAGGTACAATAATAAGATTCTTAAATATAATTATGTATACTTATAGAAACAATAGTTTTCAGAAGTTGGATCATCACAAACTGAAAATACCTTTGAGGGCAACTCTGACAAACGTGAAACAGTTCAACAAGGGTATAAAAAGGGTAGAGGTCGACGTGGAGGAAGGGGAAAAAATAAGAGCTCTTTGGATAGTAATAGTACAACTCCAGTGCATATATCAAACCGTACTAAAGTACAATAAACATGTTGCAATAGCGTTTTCAAGAGTAAAATGTGTAGTTACTTTAAAACTATTTTTCTTTTTTATATTTATTTTAAATAAACCCAGTTAAAAATAATAATATTAGGTTTAAATAAAAATAAATAGTGTATAATATTGTATATTATTATTCTAATTACATTGTAATCCTAAGCCAAATGTCCCATATTTTTATTCCAATATTGAGAAAAACCTAATCTTCATCACTTTCTTCAAAAGTCTTACTACTACCTACTGTCAAATCTAGTTCAGTTACATTAACTGAATCATCATCAATATAGTTTGGATTGGTTTGGTTTCCTAACTAAAATAGTAAAATGATAATATACGTACTCTTATTTAAATCATGATTATAACCAGAAGATATACATATGTATAGATATAATTATATAACTATGCTTTTACTAACCTTACTGCTAGTACCAGGAAGTTGATACTCTAATTTTGGCACACCACACTTTTCTTCAGCTATACTTTTCAGGTGTAACCATTCTAATCCTGTTTGGTTTATCTCAATATCAATTTTTTCTAATAAACTGAATAACTCTTGTTCCAATACTTTCAATTTCATTAGTTTTTGTATTTCTACAGATTCCATAGTTCTGATTTAAAATGGAAAAGACTACAGGGAAAGACTTTTAAGTACTAAACATAGATGTACTAAATTCTAATAGAATGGGTAAAATATGTAATCACCTTATACAAAAATCACATAACTTAAGAGAACATTTTTCTACAGTTTTGTTTGTTTGAAAACAGAAAGCAGCTGATATCTGTTATATGATCTTCGTTAACAAACTTTTGAGGTCTGTGGTGCCTTAGGAATCACCAAAATTTATATATGATTTCAGTTTTTCATTAAAATGTAAAGTGTACCAACACCAACCCTTGCTATTACAAATCATATTTGACAATTGACACCTGTCTGTGTTTGAGATTGACCACAAATTGACATATAAACAGCTGATTTTCAATTCTATGAAAACAATCCAAGAAAAAAATCAAATTAAACTGTAATAAACATATTTTCAATATCCTCAAGTTTATTTAACGGCGTAAAATGTTCGCGCTATTGGCTGTACTTTGTAAGCTAACAGAGGTGATGTTGGTAATATGTTCGGATGTTTAATAAGCCATGTAAAATAAACCTAATGAATACGTTGCAATTTTCTAAGGACTCCTTACAAAGCCAAAAGTTATATTCCTCAAAGGTATGTAAAAGAAACTTTTTTATTTACCATATTTTCCCAAGTATAAACGTTTAAATGAAATCTGTTTTTAGAATCCACCATTATTTTTTGTAATGATGAGGTTTAATAATAAAATTGCTATGGTTTTTCTATCATGTATAGTAATTTTCATGATAATACTATATTCCATATGTTCAAGAAATAGTTCTTATATATCACAAAATAGCAACATTCTTAGTGGAAAAACTGCTGATTTACAAGGTCCTGAGGAGATAGACTGTGATATAAATGGAGAATATATTATTGGATGTAGAAAGGAAGGTGAGGAAGTATACGTTCCTTTCTCATTTCTTCATCGATATTTTGAAATTTATGGAAAACTGGCTACATATGATGGTTTAGAAAGGTTCGAATGGTCACACAGCTATAGTAGAATTTATCATCCAAAAGCAAAATATGATCCCAGAGGTGTTTACATGTATTTTGAAAATTATAATGTTGAAGTAAGGGATAGAGTAAAATGTGTTACAGCAAGTGAAGGAGTACCTGTTTCTACGCAGTGGGAGAGCCAAGGATACTACTATCCAACTCAAATAGCTCAATTCGGATTATCGCATTATTCAAAGAATTTAACAGATCCAGAACCCAGAAGAAAGATATTTGACGATGGAGACAGAGAGATTGCAAAATGGTAATAAAATATTTATTATTTATTGATTCATTATGTTCTATTTTTACTTTATAGGGTTGTTCCTACTTCAGCAACACTAGATGTTATTTTGGACACCAAATTAAATACTAAAATAACTAAATTTAAAACCAGTGAAAATTATAATGAGGCAATTCAGTTAAAAATGGATCATGTCTCGGATCTTGTAATGACAATCGATGTTAAACTTAATGGAAACAGTAGCTTAACTGTTGTATTACAAAATAGGGAAACCAAAATTAATTATTTTCTGCATTATATCACAACAGATGTCTTGATAGCTGTTCAAGTATGGCGTTATTGTTTTATTAGCTATAATATTTAATATTAATCATTTTTTTTAGGATAATAATATATACCATGGTATTGGAATAATTTCCGAATGGACAAAACTTACAAGAGATCTGATAGTAGATCTACAAAAAGGACTGAATTATGCCAGCAAAGATAAATCTAAGCACAAGATTCCAAAATCAAAATTAAAAATTATCAGTATAAATCTGAGGTTTGTTTTTGATATTTTTATCAATAGAACTATAATTATTATGCACCAAACTTTAGAGGATCTGGGGCTGTTGACAATTTAACTCTTTCTTCATCTGAACATATTCAACAGTTCTATGATGCTGCTGAATGGTTTGTGAAACATCAAGATTCTGAGACTGGTGGATGGTCCATACCTGTTAAAAGAAAATTGGCCTCGGGGTTTGTGGTACTTGAAAAAGGTACTTTAATGCAGATTATTTAATAAGCTTCATTTCATTATATTATATTCGTATATTATTACTTTTTTCGATGACTTAAGTATGTTATTCTTGATATTATCCTAGTTAAAAATAGACATACAAAAGGATTCTTAGAATAGTTTTCTTTGAATTAAAATAATATTTTATAGGTTGGTTATCTGCAATGGGCCAAGGTCAAGCTATATCCGTTTTAGCTAGGGCTTATGCTCATTCTGGAGGTGATCAAAAGTATTTAAATACTGCCCTCAATGGTTTAAAACCTTTTAGGTAAATTGTGACATAAGGCATATCGATGTGAAGTAAAAAAATTCAATATTTTAGAGTGCAGAGTTCAGAAGGTGGAGTTTTAGCAACATTCCTGAATAAATATCATTGGTATGAAGAATATCCTACTAAACCACCTTCCTTTGTACTCAACGGTTTTATATTCTCACTTTTGGGGTTATATGATTTAGCCAGTATAGCTCCAGTAGAATTTTCTGAAGTAAGTAACAAACTGACATTTTTTGGATGATAATATAGTGTGACCAACGGATCTGTAGCTACGGGGTATTGGCAGGGGAACGCAGTTGTAAACAAAACACGCCCAATTTCATTCATAAAATAGGCATGGGCGTACAGTGTTATATGAAAATAATGTGTATCATAAATATAATACTCAGATTAATAATTTTTTTCAAAAAACTTTATGCTGTTTGAATCGTTACTGTTGAGTTAGCAGATAAACACTAAAAGCTTTTATTAAAGCTCCCTTAAATATTTTGAATCATTTTATTATTGTGTTGTTAATATAATAGAAGATATAATTACAGCTGGGGGTTGGAAACTTTGGAGTTACACAGCAAATAAAACACTAAATCAATACAATACACCAAAACACTTTTAATTTTACACTGGACGCACGTTTCGCTAACCATGTCTGCCATCAGCAGATGATGATCAAGACTGAGTCTTGAGGTATATTTATTTATATATCTGTACTAACTATATTTTTTTCTATAATACATAATTTTAGATATAACTATTTCCAGCAAAAAAAATCTTGAAAATAGTTAACTTTGGAAGCGCAAACAAAACATAATTTTACTCACCAGTAGATCCAATATTGCCTATTACACCAGATATGGTATCGCTCCGCCAGCACTTTTTATAGGTTAGGTCATTGTCTACCCATATGTTTCATCCAAATAGATAATACTTGGCTATATTCTCGAATTTTGCGTATATATTTATATCTCTCTCTGCAATATAATGGGCCGCTCCATTAATATTTATCTGTTATTTTGACATTTACGCCAAAAAAAATCATTTGATTTTAATAACCCCCTAAGCGTTTCCCTGCAAAAGGAAAATTCGATTCTTCCTGCAATTTTTGCAAAAGCTTTCTAATTGTGGGGACGAGTTTGAATTCCAGATAAAATCTATTTATCAAATGCCTGACCACTTCGAAAAAGTCGTCGAGCTTTTCGACAGCAGTCTCACGTGGTCGTTTCTTTCCAAAGCTGGATATCATTTTATCGGGGTTAGATTTCAGCCTTTTTTTTTATCTTCTGTGTGAATTTTTTTTATAACCGATACGCTAACTCCGGTATAAAGAAATATCCGCTCAAGTTTACGTTTAAGCGGCAACTTAAGCGAAATCTCTGTAGCTTCTTCATCGCAAACCCTATTATGAACACAAGGAAATAAACCAAATGAGATTTCATCCACGTCATTATTAACTTACCTATATAAATTAGCTATTATTTCTCTTGTCTGACTATGTAGTGTCTTACCCTTAACAAATTTATTCATTTTAAAACACAAATATACGATCATACTTGATATTAATAATTAAAAACTACGAACGAAAAACATTATAACAAGATAACAAAACAATAAAACACAACTATCAAATATACGAAAAATATAGGAATAAAGTTTAGGATAACCGGTATAAAATAATGAAATAAAGTAATAATGATCAAAAAAATGACACCGCCACTGGATATTTCAATAGTATTCAATATTCCTACTCTTTTCAGAAGAGACCGTGAAGTTGGGGATAAAGCAAGCGAATAGGAAAGGCGTAAAAGCCATGGCAACCGCGTGGTAACAAATCCTGTGACGTACTCTCGCCAATCATGTTCGATGAATAGGCGGCCATGCGCGGCGATGCCGGTTTGCCAATGATATCGTTGACAAATCTTCAACTTTCATAATAAGCAGATTATACAGAATGAAAGAAATAAGTTATTAAATAAAACATATCGAACAATATGAACTACGTTAAAATTCCTTAGTAATATACGTCAGAATATATGCTAAACACATTATATATAATAAAAATATATTAAATTTATAGTTCATGTCTGGCAATTTTGCAATTTTATAGATAAACGTGGCAATATCTTTTTTTTTTCTCGCATTCTTTCCGTAGCTTCAGATCCGCTGGTCAAACAGTACATTTAACATATCTATTATTTTGCTTTAGGAGGCGGAATTTCTTTATAACCAAGGCATGGAAACTTTGAAGAATATGTTGACACTATTTGATATGGGTAGTGTGACGTGTTACGACCTGCGTCATTTTACTTTGGGCATTGCGCCAAACTTGGCTCGATGGGACTATCACGCCACTCATGTTAATCAGTTGTTGCTGCTCAGTACGATTGAGGATGAGCCTTTACTCAAAACCACGGCCGAACGCTGGATAGGATACATGAATGGTAAAAGAGCAGATCATAATTAAAAGAATATTGAAATCTATGAGACTTTGCAATATTGAAGGGTAGAGATAAAAAATAAGGTTTATTCCATTGCCGATTTTTGTATTGTTCAGAAGTTCACAAATGGGTCGATAATGCATGAATTCCAGTTAATTTTCGAGATGTTTTACGATTATTTAATTCTAATCAGTTAAAATATGCCTATCAAAAGTCCATATTTTTTCAAATTTAGATTTGTGCATTTCCAAGACACTAAAATCCCTGTCTTTATGATCTTCAATTTTTGAAATGTTAAGGTGCGTTCCCACCGGCTGCGCCGCTCTGCGCCGCGCAAATCATTTTTTTAACATATACTTTTGTGCGCGCTAAAAAAATACCCATCAAAAGTACATGTTAAAAAAATGTTTTACGAGGCGCGGCGCAGCCGGTGTGGTCGCACCTTTATAGTTTGATATATTTGAAAAAAACATCCTTTATATATTTGAAAAAAAACATCAAGTGGGCTTGGAATGACGATCGATGACATTCGCTATATAATTTTACAGAGATCTGATTTCAAGTCAATTTTGACGCTGTTTTAATTTTCGATCATATGGTATTAATATAAAAAAATATTCCCATAAAAAAGTTAAATAGTAATTAAATTAAAATATCACAAAAGGGGATTTAAAGTTCACTGTTTAAAATTATGAATCTCAGTATTAATATATAACTATATCATGGTGGCCGGCCGTAGTTGTGTCGCCTGCAATGCGAGAGGTACTAGGTTCGATACCCAGCCAGTACGGTCGCTTTATTTATTTAAGTAAAAGTATTTGTTTATCCAAATAGAGCGACCAGCGAGCTGACACCTCAAGGAAGGCAATGCCAAACCACCTTGAATATATTTGTCTTGTCTCTTGTCTGTCAATAAACTGTAGGTCCCGTGTAGTTGTGAACCACTGTTGACACACATCACAAGTACATGCAAGAGGTAGCCTACGCTCTGTATATAGAGTATTGCACTGTAAGAATATCATGAAAAAAAAAACGTTGTCACAGTGAGCTTTGAAAAGAAAATCGATGTATATATTTTTAGTATAGTGTATTGATGTTTAAGAAGAGCTGCCATTGCAAAGAATACAGCTATAAATAAGCCTAGTAAAATTCGAATTGAAATGTTATTTCAATGCCTACCGTGCCATCGTTTTTATCACATCATATGTGGACTATGCAAATAATTTTATTATATTTATTACATATGGGTAAACGGTTGAACTATTTGTGACTTTTGATGGAACAAACCAAGAGATTCTGGTTATTGAAAGTGCCAAAATATGATGAATTTCAAGATCTTTAATCAAAGCTTAGATCTACAATCTACACAAATAAGATTAATTGAAATATTATCAAAGTTTTTATAAAAATAATTACCGCTCATCAAAAAAAAAACGGCGTCATAATTGGCTTGGAAATAAAGAACGCTGTCATTTTATATGTAAAATTACATGGCCAACTTGACGTGTTTTTTTTTGCGATCATGCGGTATAAAGTCAGCTGATCCAAGAGATGGATCTTTCTTACCAAGTAGTAAATTTGTTTTCTGTGAATTACGAGGCTTTCCTCCAATTAATATTAAAATATAATTGGGAACTACATATAAGGTTTAAGAAATTTAATATATAAAATATTGATAATGAACAGAAAGAAAAATATCTAAAAATATTAAAATGAAGTTAAGAATTATAATTTCTTCTTGGTTGTTTTTTATTAGTTATTTCCATATTTATATAACATTGTAATATAAAAATTAATTAGTAAAGTTTACAATTTGGTAAGATAATATTCTTGTTATAAATATTTACGTTTTATTTTAACTTCTACCAGTTCCACAGTTTGAGGCAATATAATTTTAGTTTTTATATTTATTCTTAGATAGTAACTTTTTCATCTAGATTATTATAGTTATCGGATGATCAGTGATATTCCGTTAAAAAATATCTTATAAATAATGTTTTAAAGGGTTTTTGAACATTCCATAGTATTATTAAATATATAATAATTTTATTATAGCAGGTAGTTTAGCAACTCTGTTATAACGACAAACATTTGTTAATACTCTGTTAGTTAAATTACTACTAATGCTTAGAAATGCTTCATCATAATACCCATTTTCAAATTATTTGTTTTTCTGAGTGAATCACAAAAATTACAAGAAAAAAATAGTCAATCATATTGTCATAAGAGATGTAGACAATAATATATAAATCATATTGCATTAAAACATATCCGTATTTAAAAAAAAAGTATGTTTAAAAAGACTGGGGGATTTTAAAATTATTTTAAAACCGTCAAAGACTGAAAAACGAATAATTTCGATTATTTTGTTAGTTTGTTTTTAAAAATCGTGTAACATTTTTAAGACCAAATATTTTTCTTTTTACGTTTTTTATTTCTAAAAAACTGAAGCCTCTTTATATTATTATAGTTAGGCAGTGGCGTACTCATGATTTTTTCTAGAAATTTTGGTGAAGGAGAATAATAAATTGCGTTCTGGAATGGGATTAGGTACTTGATATTAAATTAGATTTTCTTTTCGTCAATAAGTTTGTTCCAACCAGCATTTCGGGATCGTTTCGAAATCGTACTCGAATTAGTTTTCTTGCACTTTGTTAGCATGCGCGGACTTTGAATAGTTTCGTGACGGTTCAAAAAGTATCAACGTTGGAACGCTTTGTGGATTGTTTTCGGGACTGTCAAAAGTGTCAAGCGTGCGTGTATCGATCGGTTTTTTGTTTTTGTTTAGAATTTCATAACTTAACCTTATTATTTTTGTTTGCAATTTGCAATAATAATAATTATTATTCTTGAAATGGAGAATCAGAATCCAGTAATTGTTGGTAAGTGTTGTTTCAACTGTATACTCACTAACTGACTTACTTATCCTCTCTTTTATGATCTTGTTATGCGTAGTTTACTGTTATTTCATTGCAGTGGTAGAATCATAACATTATTTTATAAATAAAAAAAAATAATTAAAATTTCCGAACGATTTACTCCACACAAACTCACAAGCAGAAGTATAACGCACACGTTTCGAATTCGTAAAAAATAACCAAGACAGAAGCATCAGCCGAACGGCGGACCAGAATCAACTGTTAAAAATCGATAATCCCTGCCAATATGCTTTAATGCGCAAGTCAACCCAAACAGTTCTCAATTTGGACCCAATTCGGTACCACCATTTGGTACCGAAAGGTTTGTTCCACACACACACCCGCTGAGAACCGTTCAGGAACGGTTTCGTTCATGCGCATAGGGCTAAAAGCGTTCCAACCTTGATGGGCATCGTTCTCGAACAAAAAAAACGAAGAGTAAACCAAGTGAAACTTATCAAAATTATCGTTCGTGTCCATTATTTATTAATGTAGGTAGTAATTTACCACTTTTTACAGTTTCCACTGTTCTATACAATTAATAAGAATATCTGTGAAGAATATTATTAAGGTTTGTTTTGTTTACATCTTACATCAAACAAAAAGTGAGGTTATTTTAACCGGTGTTTGGACAAGACAGATTAAAAACGGTTCCGAACCTGTTCCAACCGATTGTCAATCTAGAATCGTTCAAAAACAGTACCGAGTTAACGCATGCGGATAAGACTAGTCCCAATGATTTCAGATCTAAAACTTGGGGTTGGAACAAACCTGAAATTACCGCTCTGAAATCGTAACTAAACGATCCCAAGGTAGGTTGGTACGCAAATAGGATCGTCCGATAACCGTCAAATCTCGGTTGGAACACATTTGAATTACCGCGCACGAGCGTGATCATTCGGTGAATGTTCTGCGGCGGGTTGGAACAAACCTATAACAGACTATTTTGTCGCAATAAATTTACTATTAAACTTTAATCCCATTGTTATCTGTTACTGTAGGATTTATAGATTACTGTTACTCGAGGATTAATGATTAAACTTAATTACATTTATTTTGATAACCCTATATTTTCAGATTACTGATATTTAGGTAAATCTCCAATGGTATTACGGTTTATTTGATTCCGTTGATATAATAATTAAATATTATATGCTTTTTCAGTGGTGTAGCTAGGTAACCAATAATTTATTTGGGACCTATCTAAATGATTTATCAACTAATGGTATATATGAATACTTTAAAGCTGTAAAACTTTCAAAGTTAAAGTTATCAAACCAGATTTTCATCAGTATTTTTAATATAAAATAAAACAAGTGCTTAAAATTTCTATAATTCTGAAGATTTGAGAAATTTTAGTAGAGGTTAAGGCCCCTCGACAGCTACGCCACTGTAATTTTTAAATATCTTAACGTCTGACAATTGTTTTCTTCTAATTCGTAATACGTAAAAAATCAAAGTCAATAGTAATATTAGGACTCTAGTGATATAGGCTTGTTAAGCTAAAATTGAATAGATATTTCATATTTTCCTTTTTGTTACTTCCTTATTAATACATATTTAATAAACGCCTTAGATAGGCTCAATAAAATTTAAAAAAATATTGATTTTATTGACATTGAATAATTTTTCAATGTCTTGATTGAAAATAAATTGGTAAACAATATGAATAGAGGTAGTTGTTACTCAAAAACTGAATTGGCCATAGATTGATGGAATGGTTCTAGTCACACTTGAATAATAATCAACAGCAGATATATTAGTACTTAAATTTATGTCCAATTATATAAAAAGAAAAATATTATAATATTATCGTTGCTATCAGTACTTATAAATTGTATATTAACAAATTCCCATATTATATAACGTAGAGTACAGCGTGATCAAAAAGTTTTATTATTACTAACTACTTTAGAGTGACGAGAGTATAGAAAAAATGCTTAACTGTCATCATGTAGCTGGTCATAATACTTTTTGATCATATGTATAGAATATTTAATTAATTATTGTATATAAAGGTAGATATATAAAGGTATACAGGGTGGGCCACTGAAAACTTTTTTACGTATTACTGACGTATTTTTTGAACCACCCCGAAAATCTTAAATGGCAACACCCCACTTGTGGCGTCTTTTTGGAAAGCTCATGAAAAATGCTAAATGATGATCATAAAGTTTTTAGGGTGAAATTGAAAAACTACCCTTACACGAACAATTAGGTGGACATTAATGAAAAAGGTGATTTTTTCAGCATAAGTTACAAATTGGGACCCCAACCCACCCCTAGGTGGCACCCCCTCACTTCTAATCTCAAGATAGCGATACCCAACTTGTGACACTTCTTTGGAAAGCTAATTGAAATTGCTAAACGATGGTCATACAGACTTCAACTTAATTACTGGTTAGTGACAAGAAATGTAGGTGTGACAATTTGAAAGAAATTTAAAATGATAATTTATTTTAATAATTGCTCAAAATGACAGCCGTTTTGTTCCATACAAAGATACAAACGATTTTCAAATTCTTCTCTCACTTTTTGGAAAGTCGCTCTCGGAATATTTCGACATGCTTCAGTTCTCCTCTGCCGCAATTCTTGCAACGAACCTGGTTTTGTCTTGTAGACTATGGATTTAGTGTAACCCCACAGGGAACAGTCTAAAGGAGTGAGATCAGGTGACCTTGGCGGCCACTCGATTAGACCCCTTCAGCCAATCCATTGCCTTGGATAATATTTATCCAACCACCGCCTTGTGACAATAGAATAATGCGAAGGGGCTCCATCTTGCTGAAAGTGTATGAGGTCTTCATTAAGAGTTACAATAAATTTCTTTGTACCAGCTTTTTTTCTCGCAATGGTTCATGCATACAAAAATAATTCAATCTATTGATTTTGACACGTTTTGACATTTTTGTTTTATTTTCAGGCTCTATTTTTTCGTTCTTTTTTATGACAGTCGTTCAGCATTTTTTATACGCTTTCCCGAGGTGTCACAAGTGGGGTATCACTATCTTGAGGTTAGAAGTGAGGGGGTGGCACCTAGGGGTGGGTCGGGGTAGTTTGAAAAAAACCTCATTTAGCTGGGTCCCAATTTGTAACTTATGCTGAAAAAATAACTTTTCTCATTAATGTCCACCTAATTTTTCGTGTAAGGGGTAGTTTTTCAATTTCACCCTAAAAACTTTATGATCATCGTTTAGCATTTTTCATGGGCTTTCCAAAAAGGCGCCACAAGTGGGGTGTTTATTTAAGATTTTCAAGTGAGTAGTGGTGCCGCCTTAGGGGTAGGTCGGGGTGGTTCAAAAAATACGTCATATGTATTCCCCTCGATATTATAGAAACGGTATTTTTTATTTTTTTGATATCTTTTTTGGTTTAGAAATTATAGCCATTGTAAGTTTTCAGTGGCCCACGTGTATATAAGTAAGGAAGTAGTCTTCTGATGGAAGTTTATTATAAGAGAAAGCACTTATGCACTTATATATTGATAAAGCTTTTAAAATGTTCACTTTAAACCTAATATCTTTAAAAAAGACATTTTATTAATAATTACAGAAGTTAATGTATATTTATAATTGATTTTATGTTTACAAGTAATTCATCAATTTCAATATTGGCGAGAAATGTTGTCAAATGCTTTGTTCGAACTTAATACTGTCAATAAATAATAATATAAATAATGAACATGAAAAAATACTTATTTAAAACAATCTTGCCATTCTAGTAAAAGTTAGCCAGGGTATTAGCTGTATGCGATATGCAAATATCATTTTTAAGAGTGCGATAATTCAGTATCAATCAATCCATAATTGATTATATTTAGTAAATCATTTTTTTGGGGTATAACTCAACAATTTATTATTATGTATCTTAAACGTCTTTTAATGATTATTAAAATATAAATTGAGGTTGACTGAAATCAATTTTTGTGTACAGGGTGTCCCACTAAGAATATCTCAGAAAGTATTAGCCGTAGGGCCTACGGAAAAGAATATTTGTAACTAAAGGAGCTATGAGAAAGTGCTGGAAATTATTTTGAAGTTTGTAAAACGGCCTCTAGAGGGCGCAACTCCTATGGAAAATAAAAAAGTAGAATTTTTACAGAATTTTGCTTAGATAATGGGTACTATATAAATAATAGCTTCATAATTTTAGTAAATTTTGGATTTTTTTTTATTAGAACCATTTTCCCCTAGCTGCTAAAATAAAGTGGTGGGGGAAGTTTAGATCTGTCTTTATTTAAATGTTAATAACTCTGGACTGGATGTTCAGAATCCAATAAACGAGGGCTCGTTTAAAAGAGTGTTTCTTACTCTAGATTATACCATAAAAATAATAATAATAAGGTTTTGAACGTAGACGCTAGGGGGCGCATACTTACAATTTAACAAACAGCGCGTTTTTTCAAAAAAAAAATAAATACGATAGTATATGTAATTTTATCTGATAGTAAAGAGTAGTAAAAGAGCTTAAAAAATCAGCGAAAGCCGCATCTTGATATCTTCTTTCAAACCGAAGATATTAGCAAAATTATAATAAATACCAAAAAATAAGCCCTTAATTACCTTATGTTTACAACACGGTATCAGTAGCCCTCTTGATCCAAGATACAGCCGAGAGCTATTCTTAGTGGGACACCCTGTACATCAGCATGCATTTTTACACACATGGAAAATAGAAAAGATTTCAGGAAAAAAACTTTTATCTAGCTAGTTATGAAATTAGCTATTTGGGTGACAATCTGTAAACACAGTATGTTTATGCTGTAGTAATGAATCTCAAAAATTTCACTGCTGTAGGTATAGATTTTGAATCCTGAGTTAGCTTTCTCTGCAGGTAATTACAATAAAAATATAATGAACGAATATCTTTTTTTTAATTGTTACTAGAATTAACTAGAGCATAGATTATACTGTGGTAAAGTTGAATGCTTATTTATTTTCTGTGATATATTCAAGAAAATATAAAAAACATACCAGATGCAAATGTATGTAGTATACTATATTTTTCAGTTTTTTATTGTATAAATAAATAGTTGTACAGTATGTTCGGATTTTAACAGGCCATTTAACAGAGGATATGTCTGTAACCATTGTTTGATGTTTAAAGCAAATTTGGAATACATTATCCCATAATAAGGTTACTACATTAACTGTGAATATCAGTCTATTGAAGAAAACAATAGTGTATGTTAATTAAATGAGAGTGTTAAGTGAAGTAAAGGTTCTCTTACATCGGTCCTACAAAACAGGCTTTGTTGATTTTAATACTTATTTTTTGGTTTAATACATTTTTTATCGAAAAATGAAAAAATTATTTTCCTGAAATAGAAATCCACCTAAATTCGTAGATATCTGTAAATAAAGCAGCAGTTTTTCCCTGAATCTTAGGGAAAAACATGAAATTGCAATAGAGTTGTTTTAAAATCTGTACTCTGCGCTGTTGTCATACGTAAATTTTTCCTAAAACTTAGGGGTATAATTTTAACATGGATAGACTGTCACTGGGATTCAAATTATTCAAATTTTGTTTATGTATTTCCAATGGTTTAAAACACATTGTAAATAATACAGTTTTCTTAAAGATTTTTCAAAACATAAACATGTTTAATATGAACTTACATGAGCAATATGGTATCACCATTAGTCATATCTGTTAAAGGGTTGTCTGTTTATAACCAGATCTGTCTGTACAAGTATTTAAAACAAATATTCTTTAATAAGTTAATATTCAATTTATCTGACTGTATAAAACTGATGTTCCTTTTTACATATTTATTATGATTTTTTTTTAAATTTGAACTTATTTATTTTTATGTAAGATTTAATGTTAAACAAATTTTGGTTGCGTCTTGCCTTAGACATAAAATTGTTATTTATAGAAGTATTCCAATAAGTATTAAAATTTTCTTTCTTACCACTTAAGTTATTTTGTCACAAAACTTATTGTAATATTTCCTAGATAATTTTATTGATATGCAGTGAGGTACATTTACCTCAAAATATTTCTATACATTATTAAAATTATTTTGTATAATACTGAAGTATATGTACTCACACATTTTAAATGTTTTGTTTTCAATCATTTTTACTTAAAGAAGTCTAACCCGTCCTAGAACTAGTTTTAAGATATTAGTTCATTAAGCAACTTATTTATTTTGGAATAGTTCCAATTTAATTTATACACATATTAAGTGACTGTGACAATAATGTTAAAAAAATATACTAAAAACACTAACAAAAAATGAAGTTTTATTTTCCTTATCTGTAGTCGTTAATGACACCTCTGAATAAAAGGATTTGAAAGGAGTACAATAATAATGCTGTCCATGAGACATAAAATCGACGGCGACGTCAAGGGTAAGGGTTCCCATCCTTGACAGTTCTGTTTGAACAATCAATTGACACATTTGAATTTGATTTGAGATTTTGCGGATATGTTGGGATTTTCTGAACTGATTTTATATTATTTATTCTATATTTTTTTCTTGAAAGATAGTAAATCTAGAAGTGTATTAAGACAGTAATTCCAGAACTTACATTAACAGTGACATTATTGCACATTACCAAAAAATCGGAGATATATTTGAAGAACTTTTTACTGGTGGAAATCCAGAATTGATTTAGAATTAATTAATTATATAGGGTGGTCCAAACTGTATTCCGGAAACTTCGGCAGTATATTCTGCAGATAAAAATAAGTAAAAAAGTTCGTATAAATGTCTGTCCTAGAATGCTTAGTTTTGGAAATACAGGGTGTAGAAGTTTCATTTCGTGTTTTTTTTTTCAAATAATTTCTGAAGTAACGTCAATATTTGGATGAAAATTGGTATCTGGGAGTTTTTTGACATGGAAAATTTGATTTTGATGTCAGTATCACTCCTACTTGTAGAGGGCGCCACCTACATGTTTTTTTAACTAGTTTGAAGAGTAATAACTTTTCGTCCGTACCTGTATAAAACTGATCAGTAAAAAAATATACATTTAAGATTTTTACGGAAAAAAGGTCTCTTGGTAAAAATCGCCACGAGTGGTTCTCGAGATATTTGGAATCGAAATTATCAATACCTGTCATCATTGTGTCAAAAAAGTTCAACGAAAACTGTTTTATCATCATTTTTTCGAAGAAAAATTTATGAATAATTTAAAAAAATAAGTACCCAAATTTATCATTTCAGTCAAATAACTATCTACTCAAAATGTTAATTTTTTTTTGTCAATATTGACATGTATTGACTACTGCCATTCTGAATATCTTGAGAAAGACTGACAAATCCACAAAATTTCAAATCAAATTCAAATGTGTCAAATGAATCGTCAAACAGAACTGTCAAGGATCCCCACCCTAGAGAGCTTTTATGGTGGCTTTTCCGCCCACCATGCATGAATACATGGATAGCATTATGCTCCTTCCTTAGTCTTCTTATTCAAAGGTTAAAACACATGTAGGTGGCGCTCCCTACAAATAGGAGTGATATGAAAATCAAATTTCTCATGTCAAAAAACTCCCAGACACCAATTTTCATCCAAATATTGATGTTACTTCCTGTATCTCCGAAACTAAGCAATTTAGGACATACATTTATACGAACTTTTTTACTTATTTTTACCGGCAGAATATGCTGCCGAAGTTTCCGGAATGCAGTTTGGACCACCCTGTATATAATTTTATACATGTTGTCATTTTTTACTGTGTATCGCTTATCTATGGTTTTTATTCAAAGAATGACACTAATATAATGACAGTATCTAAAATATTCCCGAGTTATGATTAATATTAACTGATTTCAATGAAGACCGACGATGAATATCCAAATTTCGTTAAGAATTTGTGCAAATTTGTAAACACGCAATTCTCAAAAACCAAACTTGGCGCGCCAAGACATCTAAAAGCAAATAATGTAGACCAACTTTTGGAGGAAGAATATGAAAAGCTTCTTAAAGAAATCGATAATCTCACGGGCGATAAAAGTTGTTATTTGAATTTTAAGAATGCACGTTACGATGTTACATCGAGCGAGGAATTGTTTGAAAAGCTAAATAAACACAGCAATGAGGTTTTGCAAAATTATATTAAAAGGAATGGAGATGAAGCGAAAAACATAAAGTTCAGTAGTAAAGGGGAATTGATAAATTATGTGACGGAAATTATAGTATCGAGACCGAAATGTAATAATAAATTGTGTTCATGTAAACCGGCTGGTATTTCAAAAGCTGTAAGTTCAAAAATATTGATTATCTATAATTCTTATATTATACAGGGTGTCCCAAATAAGTGCAAGTATTTTAACTTGTAGTAGAGTTCAACCCCAGAAACACGCCTATGCGTTTTTTTGCGCGAATTTTTTTTTTAAATTTGGAATTTTTTGAATTTTTTTTTAGTTTTTATTTAAAAAAAAATAATTTCTTGATAATATGGCAACATAGGTAGTAGATTAAATTTACAAGAAAGAAAATCCAGCAAAGATCCAGTGGTTCTCAAAATTTTAGCAAAAAATATTTTTTTTCGGAAATTTTCAAAGTAAAATAACTCCGTTATTTTGGCCTTATTTGAAAAACGGTAAAGAGAAAATATGATTCTTTTATCGAGATCTACCACCCCTTAAAATATTTGCACTTATTTCTGGGACGCCCTGTATATCTTATAATTTTTCTTTTTTTAATTTTATTTTCTCGTTATTTTGTAAATATAATCCTTGTGTATGAAAATATACACGGTTGACAAAGCCTGGCTTTGGATACCGATTTTCGTGTGCACGAAGAGTACAGTTAATGTGTTCAGTACAATAAGATGCGCTGAACAATGAGAGGAGCATGTATTTTTTATGCGCATACCATAGAATGTTTTCTTGGTTTGACCACGTTGATCTTGGGAATGCTGTTTTTTTTTGGTAGAAATTATTTTGACCTCATTAAAAATCTGTGTAAAATGTATTGAAATAGATCTTCTAAAAACGAGCAGATCAAGGAAAAAAACTATTCATTTACCTGCATCTCTTTAAAACTAAATATATATGTATATATTATATCTATCTGATATGCTCACTATATTGATAATTTCACTAGGAGATATGATATATATAGACTCTATATATAGACTCTCTATGTTATTTAGATAAAATCCCCAGCATTTGACAAAATTAAGGAGTTTAAAATTCACCTAAAATCACAAAATATCTTTTTATTCGGTACTATTTATAGGAAAATACAGATAACGCACCAGAGTCGCTACTAAAAGAAGTAACCATAGATAAAAGTAGTGAAGCTTCTCCACAAACAACGCCAAAAGGCAACCAAACTAAAGAAAAAAAGAAGCCCGCTCTGAAGAATATAGAAAATCAAACAGATATGAAGACTGTAGGTATTGACTGTGGGTGTAACACTTGCCCAAGTGTCCACAGTAAAGCAAATATTAAAGAGAAAGATACCAGTGATTCTACGAAGGCAAATAAGGATGTGACTATAAAGGAGGATATGTTTACCAATTGTGCAGATAAAGTAGTTTCAGAAGTTCCTTCAAAGACTAGGGTATGTATATTTTATACTCGTATATTACGCAGCGTCTCGAACTACTTGAAGTAAGTATTCAACTGCATAAAACAACTACTGCAACAAACCAAACCAACTGCATAATCTTTATATTTATTTGTATGACAAAGTTCGGTTTATTTTTAACCAATCAATATGTTAAAGAGGTGAGCAAAATTCTGTTATCTTGGAGCTGTTATTTTTAAATAACAGTAATAAGTCCAACTGTTATTAGAAATAGGTAACTCAAATAATAGTTGGACTTATTACTGTTATTTAGAAATAATAGCCTCAAATAACAGGTTGATTATTAAAAGTAAAAATATCAAATAGAATATTGTATATTTTAATGAACATTTTCGGAGAAAAAAATTTAATATGACAGTTAACTTATTTTTTGTATTTAGCTGTGTCTACCAAAAGATTTTGAAACAATGGAAAATTTGCAAAATCCTCTCAGGTTCTCGGTTTGTACGAGTACTAAACATGAATGTAGTTGTGAAGTTTATGACGTAAAGGAGGCACTAAGACGAGGACTAGTACTACCATGTAGCGAAATATGCATTCAGAATAAGGCAAATAAAAAAGGCAAGAAAAACAAAAGTAAGTCCAAGAAAACTACTAACACGGATCCATCAGATAATGAGACATCTCTATCTTCTTCGGGTAAGCAATAATTTTTATATCTACTTAGTATAGTCTCTATAATTATCTTTCTATCAATCTTTCAATTCAATATTTATTACTGGACAGAAAAAAAAACATTACTCATATCAAAAGAATGAGTTAGGCTTAAGTTAGGAAAATGTCCCATAGTAAAAATAGGTCTATGTCATGTGGATTACACAGTGTAATCCACTTGACGTCACAACATGCCCTAGAGCATACCTGTTTTAGATATATGTGTATTAATTAATTCAATTTAATAAAGCTGACGAAAAGAAGAAAAACAAGGGCAAAAAGAAGTCAAAGAAAAAATCCGAACAGGACATTTTCGAAGATTCTTCTTCTGTAGGTAGTACACCCAGAAAAAAGTCTAAAAAGAAAAAACGAGGTGGCGGATGTTTTCCAAGAAAGAAGAAAGGTACTTGCGACGAAGACTGTCAAGTATATCTCATGCTACATATACATACGTTGAAATATTTTGTTTTATCCATAATTTTTAGTTAGCGAATATGTGTCAAAAATCAATGCAAACTTTGCCTATAAGCACACAAGATCAAAATAATCAAGTTTATCCAGAAGGACACAATGGAAGAAAAGCAGCTCAGACGTCCACTACTTCCGAGGCCAGTGCGCAAGCGTCGATTCAGGCTTTGAAAGAAGACAAATCTAATAATAAGCCAGAACAAGGTAAAATAACAAAAACTTATTTGTAGCAGAGCACTAAAATATGTTCAGTGAGGATATGAACAATTTCGACTGTCTGTATTCCGGAAACTTCGGCAGTATATTCTGCAGATAAAAATAAGTAAAAAAGTTCCTATAAATGTATGTTCTAGAATACTTAGTTTCGGAGATACAGGGTGTAGAAGTTTCCTTTTTATTTCGATTTTTTCCTAATAATTTCGGAAGTAACGTCAATATATGGATGAAAATTGGTATATGGGAGTTTTTTCATACGAAAAATTTGATTTTGATGTCAATATGGCTCCTACTTGTAGAGGGCGCCACTTACATATTTTTTAACTGGTTTCAAGAGTAATAACTTTTTGTCCGTACCTGTATAAAACTACTGAGTAAAAAATAGACATTTACGACGTTTTTTACGTAAAAAAGGTCTCTTGGTAAAAATTGCTACGAGTAATGGTTCTCGAGATATTTTGAATCGAAATTATCAATACCTGTCATCATTGACATGTATTAAACATGTTGACTAAATAGTTATAGTCTGTGAAACGAATAACTTTGAATTTGACAGTTCCCGCGGGCTTTTCTAGTGTTAATTTTATTAGGTTAGCAACTTGCGGCCATGCTGATGCAATGCCATCTCTAATAGAACAGCCTCGGAGCGAGATTTATAACGTCACGCTAACATAATTATTCCTTATATATATATATATTCCTATGGCTGAAATCGTAATCCATAGTCAACGTAGATAGTTTTAGTGTTAAGAATAATAATTTTAAAAAATATGTGGTCATCTTTTGACAAGTGTATATTAGTTTTTTAATTGCAGTAAACATTATGTGGTGTGTGGTGTGAATATTTTATATGCAATTTTTTGGATTATATTCGACACTATTTTTTTTATATGACACAACACTGATGAAGGCTATAATGTTAGCCGAAACGTTTTTTTTAAACCAAAAAAGATAATGAAAAACCAAATGAAAACTTAATCAGCGTTTTTCCCGAACCTAAATCCCAAGAAAATCAAAAATTTTAGAATAATTTTACATTATAAAATGACAGCGATCTTAATTTCATAGCCATCGCTGACGCATTTTTTTCTATGATATTGTATTATTTGCAAATATAATTTTTCGAACATTGATACTTGCAAAATATATGTACATATAAATTTTGTGAATGCAAATAATAATACATCACTATTAGTATATATTGAATGTTTTTTGTTAAATTAGATCGATTTTCAAACCCCAAAATTTAAAATATATTTTACGTTTTACCCATTATCTTATGTATCTATTCATTATTTGTATATTGTAAAACATTTGTTGCATTTGTATGGTTCATAGTTTATTTGCCAAAATATTTATTACTATAAATAGGTATATATATTATATTTATTAACTGTATATTATGTATATTTCATGTAAACTATATCATTTTTAAAATACAAACCAGAAATACGAGGAATAATTATGTTTTCCATGTATTCTACAACATATTTATTAATCCGTATCTAATTAGCGTGACGCCATAAATCTCGCTCCGAGGCTGTTCTATTAGAGACGGCATTGGTCTGATATTTAGAAATGTCAAAAGCTGATGACATTTTACTTTTGACAATTATGCCATTTCGTGTTGATTTTTGTAAGAAGAGGAAGAACTGTCACTTGTTTTATTATTTTCCTTTTCTATTTCACGAAAGTAAAAAGAGTTACCTATCTGATTCGTTCAGGCACTCAATTTAAAGAATATCAGTCACTTTTTTGACAGAGGGATTTTATATTTGCCATGTTGGTAAAAAATAACGGTCAAAATTCAAAGTTATTCATTTTATAGACTATAGACTAATCTCATTAATTTGACATGATTTTGTGTCAAAAGTTCAACAAAAACTGCTTTATCATCATTTTTTCGAAGAAAAATTTATGAATAATTTAAAAAAATAAAAAGTTCCCAAATTTATCATTTCAGTTGACTATCTAACTACTCAACATGTTTATTTTTTGTCAATAATGACATGTATTGAGTATTTCAATTCTAAATATCTTGAGAACGGTTTCTCCTAGCGATTTTTACCAAGGGACCTTTTTTACGTAAAAATCGTCGTAAATTTATATTTTTTTACTCAGTAGATTTATACAGGTACGGACGAAAAGTTATTACTCTTCAAAAAGGTTTAAAACACATGTAGGTGGCGCCCCCTACAAATAGGAGTCATATTGACACCAAAATCAAATTTCTCATATCAAAAAACTCCCAGATACCAATTTTCATCCAAATATTGACGTTACTTCAGAAATTATTTGGAAAAAACGAAATAAAAATGAAACTTCTACACCCTGTATCTCCGAAACTAAGCATTTTAGGACCTACATTTATATGAACTTTTTTTTTTCATTTGCAGAATATGCTGCCGAAGTTTCCGGAATACAGTTCGGACCACCCTGTATAATATCATAAATAAACACTGTCATAGTCTCTCGCTGGACGAACTATAATTCAGTACCCACTGAATATCTTGAAGTAACTCGCTTTGAAGATAATGTCTATAATTTGCTTATCCATCCAGATATAGTCTGTCCAATTCAGTGAAGATTTTGACAGACGACATCAAAGAATTACCTGTTAATTAAAATGACAAAGACAACTGTCACTGTCAGGGGTCCTCCCGTTGGACAAACTATACATCTACAGATAGTGGAGGATCTATACTTATTCCTGACAATCTATTGCCTTTGATAGATTGTTATTGATAGAATTTTAATTAATGTCATATTTGTTGCTGTTTTAAAATGTTAAAGCACAAAATTTATTTAATTTAATGCTATGAGTGATAATAGTTATCGGAAAATGTGATACAAACAGCAAAAATATGCCGTCAATCAAAATAAATAATAACTATCTATCTAACACAGAATAAAATCGAAATTATATTACCATAGAAACGCCTTTTAATTTTTAGGACTCCAAAAAAAAAAAGGAAAAATTCAAGCATATTTTCATGTTTTTTTTTATTATATTTTCGCTAAAACGGTATGGAAATTTGGAAGTGTTAACGGGATTAACCATTTTAGAACAAGCAAAAATTTTTATAAAGAATGCATTTTTCTCAAAATATTAAAAAAAAATTGCTCTTGTAAAGTCAATCCGGGGATATATCGTGACAGGTACGTCTGTCATTTTAATCCACAGTTCTGTTTATTTCTAACCAATTAATATGTTATAGAGGTGAGCAAAATGCTGTTATTTTAGAGCTGTTACTTTTAAATAACAGCCTCAAATATTTTTTGTTGGTTTGTTATTAAAAGTAAAAATATCAAATAGAAAATGGTATAATAAATAATAATAATAATAAATTGTCTATATTGTAATACATAAGCATAATTTACAAACTTATATATAGTATATTTTAATGAACATTTTTAACTACAGTTAACTTCCGATATTTTCATGCCTGATATGTTTTGAAACTATTGCGAGAACAAGAAAAGAAAAGAATGCATTTTGCTCAAAATGTTAATAAAAAAAATTGTTCTTGTAAAGACAATCCGAAGATATACTGTATAGTGACAGGTGTATCTGCCATTTTAATACACAGGCAAATTGATTTTTCTCTCATTTTTTGAATATGAATTTTTTTTGAGTCGTTGGACAGACTATATTTTAAGTGACGATATAACAAAATTCTTAAATAACTTTACAAATATTGAATTATTGCGTTAGATGCAAAAGAGACTGGTTCTTCAAAAACTAGATTCAGTAAAAATCATGAGGCTGGAGACGCAAAGAATGTTATGTATTGCAGTAGATGCGGCAAAAAGAAACAAGATTGTTCAAGTGGCTGTAGAAATACTATTGTCATTCCCATATCCGGAAGCAATAAAAATGTGTCAGCTGGAGAAGCAGAATCTCTAAGAATGCTGATCAAGGTCAGAAAAAACTTAACACATTCGCAAAACTATATCAAGTTTTTCTTTCAGATGCAAAACAAGGATATGAATAGTCAATTAGATAACATTAAACACCAACTCAGTTACCAAAAGGATGAAATCAAGCGTTTGAATGATGTTTATCGGAAAGTACTGAACAATTTAAGAGATGTGGATAAATCAAACAGTACTACATTTTCTAGAAGTTCTAGAAAAAAGAAAAAATCGTCACCTGATAATTATAGGGAGGATTATTACCGATCTGATGGAGACCCTCATAGAGGAAAAACTAGATCATGTGGCTGTAGAAATAATGAATGCAAGACATTCCAAAGACATGACTCGTCATGGTGCATATCTCGTAATAAGCGTCGAGACGAAAAATCGTCAAATTCAAATAGGTATGTATCCAAGCAATATCTATACTTTTGTAACTTGCTCATTTCTGCATTGTTTTGAAAATATCATCACTAAAACAACAAACAAGCAAAATCAGAATTAACCAACTATTTCTATCATTGTTGATCGCTCCGTATTTTTTTATATGTTTAGTTATTACACTCAGATGCAAAAAACGCAACGGAGAAAATTTTGGCCAAATTTAAAGTGTTATATTTTTGTTATTTTTAGTCCTATTTTTATGAATTTTTTAGCAAACTGTATATAATTATATGAACTTTAATTAGTAAACTAAGTTTTTTATAAACTTTAGTATTTGGCATATTATACAAGGTTAATCGAGGAGTTAGCTAATACTTTGTATTGTCTCCCTTGGCTTCTACAACTGCCTGTACAGGTCCGTTCAGAGAGAACACTAATAACTAAGTGAGAGGGCTTGTGGAATAGGGCATTTCGTAGACAAGTTTATTTTGTCACCGCGCATCCCAGACGCGCATAGCATATAGGCGGTCAAAAAAGGAATTTTTCAACTTTGCAAGTTAAACATTTGACAGGATTAATTAGATTGTCAGTAGCTTTTTCTATTTCTTAGCTCTAGAAGGAGATAACGAAAATCTGTTGATAATCGGAGTAATAAATTGTTTTTGACTGAATGTACCTGTTCTTTTGGCTTGTGAGAAGAGAAGATTATTGTCATATGATTGTCATTAATGATTATTTGAGATTCCACGATTATTCGGCATTTTTGTAATTTTTGTTTTGTGGTTGAGATCTAGACAAAATGTTTCCTTTAAAGGTAAGTTTTATCTCGGTAATTATTTTAAAATACCTAATAGTAATAGTGAGTGCACATAATATAGTCTAAGAGCTAGCAACGTTTTCGAGAAAGTATTTTAAGGCGTCTGTCTCTTTGATATATTTTTTACTATGCTCTCTGGAACAGTATGCGGCCCGTCTGGCTGCCGATATTCGTTGCGTTCACTACTGCGAATCGGAAGAAGATCCGATATTTTTTTTTTAATTTAGTCACCTCTAAATTCTAGTATTAAATATAAATCGAACATGTCTCCATAGCGCAGTGCGTAGAGTTTCCGACTATGAACCGACGATTCAGAGTTCAAATTTGGGTTAGGGCAAAGATTTTTTTATTTTATTTTCGTATATATTCTGATAGTAAAGTATTAAATAATTCTGGTGATTCAAAAATAAATAAATATTTAATACTTTACTATCAGAATATAAACGAAAATAAATTAAAAATTTTTTGTCCTGACCCGGATTCTGAAACCGGTGGTCTGAAACTCTACGCATTGAGTTATGGAGACTCGGTCGGTTTATATTCAAATCTAGAATTTAAATGACTAATACAATATAGGATCTTCTTTCAATGCGCAGTAGGGAACGCAACGTTTACCGGCAGCCAGACGGGCCGCATGCTGTTCTAGAGAGCATAGTAAAAGATATATCAAAGAGCCAGACGTCTTAAAATACTTGTTTTTCCGACGTTGCTAGCTCTCGTACTAATAGTCGTACATTGCTAATTTACATAGGTAAGCATAACCTATGGGATAAATCCGATTGTAAAAGTAAAACATCACATTCTTATTCTTTTCTGATACCTGATGGAACGACTAGGTATTATACCTGGTATTACCAGTAATACAAATTATTTTTTTCAACTGATAGGTTCTCTTATAAAGACTATCAAAAACATTGAATACCTACGGGATACCTACTGATACTCTGCGCGAGCTCCCAACCGTGCTTCCCAGTATACTCCCAACCAAGTTAGATAAAAAAGATATTGAAGATTGCAGCCTTGAGCTGGAGTATGGGCTCCACTACGACATGTACAGAAACGAATTACCTAAACTGGCAAGCATGTAAAATTAAACCTTAATGAAAAATTGAACTTATTTATTTTTAGTTCAAGAAAAGGCATGACAATCCACAACCCACCAAAGACCTGGTAAATGAATTCTGCAAAAACTGAAAACCAAACTAAGTTAAATAAATTATTATGTTCCTACACAGTATTTTATTTATAGGTTTTAAAGTCTAATAATAAATTTTCGTTGTCAACAAAATAATCTAAAAAAACTACGAAGATTTCTTATTATAAACTTGAAAGATTAAGATTCCGTTCAAATACACAAATTTTAAATTTTTGACGCCAGTATATAGGTATAAATGCAACCTACTATATCGATAATGCGCTCATAGTTCGGGTTAGACGCCAAAGGCCGCACCATTAACACAGTCTTCAAAAATTAACGTTGATCCGTCTCTCTCACTTTAGTTATTAGTGTTCTCTCTGGGTCCGTTCATACCTCAGGTTCATACTGTCATGGAAGCTGCATATATCATATTGCGTTATGATTTCCCATTCTTCTTTAAGTATCAAGCGTAGTTCATTTAATGGAGTTGGTACAGCTTCGCAACCTCTAACTCTCCTGCCAAGCCTTTCCCCAACGTCGAACATGATGGGCAGTTCATAGTAGCATATAGTTCACAACACACACACCAAAGCCACCTTGTCAATACTGAAAAATAACTTATAAAAAATCAAGTTTACGAATTAAAGTTGACATAAAAAATTCATGAAAATAAAGCTAAAAATAAAAAAATTTTACACTTTTTTGACCAAAAATTTCTCGGTAACGTTTTTTGCATATGAGTGTACTTACAGTTACATAAGCATATTTTTTTTATTAGCGAATACCGCGATAACAGAACGTATGGGCCTCTAAATTCCACCATAGGTAGTAATGTATTTGAAGTATACAAGGCAGACATCCATCATCATAACCAAAGAAGACCAAGAACACCCCGTAGGGAAATGTTCACAGAAAAGTAAAATAAGTTTCTTGACTGAAGACTGAAAAGTAAATTTATGTTTATGTAATTTTTAGACGACAAAAAGACCTACTGAACGAATCCCAAAAAAATCATTACAGTTCAGACGATATAAATCTGGCCCAATCGTCTTCGCCAAATACATCTTCAATTTTTGACAGAATCGAAGAAGTACCAATTCCGATTCGCGAAGTACCAGTACCTATTCTAGAAGTACCAATCATTAAACCACGTTCAGAAAATCCAAAACGAAGAGAAAGGGTCGAATTTGATCTTGGCAATGTATCAAAACAGAGGAAGCCCTTAGGGTTTAATGGTAGCAGAGTGATGATTTGGCTCAAGAGGTCCTGGATAAGCATAAGGAATAAAAAAGATGGGGGTAGTAAAGAAGGTCCAGAAAAGAATCACGGAATTGTTAGAAAATGTCAAAATAAAATTAAAACATCTGTGGCAGGAGTGTTGAAATGTAAGTAAGATGTTATCACTGTATAAAAAGACCAAAACGAACAGGCATAATAGAATTTCTATATTCATCCGTTTGGAGACGGAAGCGACGTCATGAAAATACTTTCTGTCATAGGAATAAAGGGATAGTCAACTTATTAAATTTCAAATTAAGAAAATTGTGGCGCCAAAAGGTGAACAGACAGATCCGGAATGAGCTGTCAATGTTAAATCGAGTGAAAGGCTGAAGAAGAGATTTTATCATCAATCCATGCCGCTCTATGGCGCCCAACGTGGGGCCAAAAATGCCAAATAGGTTGAATAACCCTTTATTCTTCTATGACACTTCTTGTGCTAGTTTTGTTTGACGTGTCATTTGAATTTGATTAGAGTTTAATATTATTTCACGTTTATCTTAACCTTATAATTGGTTTTATGCAAAATGTATAAATCGGGAAGAACATTGTGTCAGGATCTGAACCACAGTGATATTACTATTAAGAGGCTACAAAAACAGTTATTTGTTGATCGTGGGATGGGTTTCAGACATTTAGAGTTAACTAATTATTAAATTTTTCTTGCATTTTCGCTTTATTTATTACTAGTTGTCAAACATAATTTACGGATACGTCCGAAACTAGTTGTTTCAGTAGCGTATCTATGTATCTTTGTTATTAAATTATTATATTAACTTAATTTATTTTTATTAGAAATATTTTTTTAACAATTTTAATATATTTTAACATTTATTGACTCCAATAAAAGCAGCAGATGAGTGAGTCCATCCTACTTTACATTTTAATATGCATTAAATAAAACTAGAATGCCACTGATAAACCTGAATGCAAAAGAGTCATATAAAAGATCTTCGCGAACGTACTAATTTTGTTGATCCTTCCTTGATCTTTTTATTCAATGACTAAACAAAACTATAATTTTAATCTGTATATATGATGTAGATGTATTTTTTATGTATTATTGGTACAGATTTATAAATATGGCATAAACATACAAAGTTTAGATGCAAAAAAAACTATACAAAATATTTAAATTTTCTGAATTTTTAGCATTGAAGAAAATCCATCCTGCATAAACTACACCTAGCGAACTATACATTTATATTGTTATTGATAATAAAATTTTGATACGTCTCTATATGTGATTTGAATTATTTTAATTTTTTTTGAGGTAAAATTACTTAACAGTTATTTTTCTATGTAAAACATAAAAATAATTTTGATATTTTAATGTTTTTAATACTTAATTTCAATATTTCTTGGAACTACTTGAAATTATAGCTCTTTTGATTTTTGGTTTTCTACATCTTCAAAATGTATTTTTCGCAAATAACGACAATCGTCAATAGCAAAACTGAAACGATACATAGTTAATTAAGAATGAAATACATAAATAACTAGAAAGAGTACCTGTAGATTAAAGAAACCAGTGGTGCTGTTGCTAAATGCCATATTGAATGGGAATCAAATATATAAAATATTGGCGGTAAATCTATAACTTCCAAAGGCAAAACAAGACCTGTTAAGGCTACATACATTCCACATTTCCAGACATAAGGCTGTTTCTTCTGATGAACTAAACACCAGATAAACCAGCAAAGAGCAGTTATTGTTCCTTAAAAATGTTCAGCGTTTAATATCTGAAATGCTTTTACTCATAACAAAAATTTACCAATGACTATGTTGACTTTCATGTTATAACTATAGTCAAATCTTCCCATATACAAATAGATACTGTGATTAATAAAAAAAGCTATAAAAAATACTGTTAAAATAATTAATAAAAATCTTGGCAGTATATATTTCAGCATCCTGTAAAAAATATATAATGGTAACATAAATTTACTGTTATATTTTCTGACTATATACCTGACTAGCACTATATAACAATTGACTAGAACAATAGAAAAGGCACATATATAATCTAAAATTTCGGTCAATAGAAAGTCTCTGGCGTGAAATATTGTTGACCAGAACCAGGCGTGACAACAAACCTAAACAGTTTTAACATGATATTATATTAATATAAAGTTAATATAAATAGATCTCAATAATATCAATTTACCAAACAATATCCAATCCACATAAAATACAATGGGCTATCTGGTCTGACTCTCTTGACAAATATTTTTAGCATTTTCAAATGTGCATACAAGTTTAGCAGTGAAAAAATCATTGAGGCTGGTTCTTGGATACCAAGAATTCGTATAAAAGGCCACTAAAATTTTAACAATAATTAAGTATAAATAATTCTAGATTTGGTGACGTAATAGATTATAATTTAAAAGTATTGTTATTTAGCTTTTATGATTCATTTTGATGTACATAATTTTTGTAATTAATTTTAAACAAATATTCTATTCAAAGATGAAGAAAAGTCCTTTTTTCTTGCATAATAGTCAAAGGTATTCCTAAACTGATACAATATTATATTATAGTATATCAATAACTTTATTGCCTGTTGCTTAATATTCTCTGATGCAATGTTGGTACACTATTTAGCTAAATAACCTCTAGATACAAAAACGTATATTTTTCAAGGTGATAATATTACATTTAACTTACTTTTCCATGAAACTGTGGAGTTTTTAAGTCATATTCATGAAAAGATTGTACTGTTTTCCACATGCAATTATATTTGCATTCATCTGAACAAAACCAAAATGTCCATTTTAAATGAAGGGGCTGGTGATACTCTTTTATAAAATGAATTCCATCTATGATACATAACATATTTCAATTAAATTCTAATAGAATCAAGCGAGAGATAATATTTATATCAAAATTTCAAATTTTGTCTTACCTTTGGTGCAATTCAAAATTTCACACTTTTCTAAACATCTTTGGTAATAGGGCGAACGATCCCCAATAGATGCCCCCGAATAATTTATTGATAATATTATTAAGAAACTAAATAAAAAGTATTTCCACATACCGTTTGCTGTACATTAAAAATAATTTGAATCACATTTGAATATATCCGGCAAAATAAAAACAAACACAGCTGAGTTTGACAGCTTGAAACAGTGGTCGGGAGCATCATATCTTCTAACATCATATATAAATTAAGATATGATCTAAGAATATTATTTAAAATAGGTATTTATTGTATTTTTGAGACAACTGTGTTTAGCAGTAACAGTGTTAAAATTCAATTTCAGAAAATTTATTTAAAATGCATTTTTATTTGGTCAATTAGAGCACTAAATGTAGGAATCATATTTTAAAACGTGCCCCGTTCATCTATTTGACGATAGATGGCGATACTGAGTAAATTTGTTTGAAAGTGACGGGACATTTCAAGTCGCCATGTTCGAGTTCATAAAATCGCGTACCGTTGAAACAGACGTGTGGCAAGCGAGACGGGTATATGTGTATATTTAGAATGCATTTTCCTCGATTTGATCTGTATTTTGAGTGATTTCGTGCGAAATGTGTTTTGAGTGAAATTTTTGTGAAAAACTTCGGAAATGGATGGTGCTTTTTCTTTGGAACAGCTGTAATCTGACGTTTTATTTTAGTAAGTAAACTAAAGTGCAAGCTTCTTTTTACTTTGGTTATGTGCAGTTTTATCTCTTTACCAGAGAATCTGCATTTTATGTAAGGATCTTGGCGTCTCAGTTTTTTATGTACCTTTTTATTTGATTTGGTTTTATTTAGATGAAATGAAACTGTGTTTATCTTTGAACAGGTTGTTTTTTTTTTGTTGTTTTGACAAGCCGGTCGTTGCTAAGCGATGTGAAGTGTTTATATAACGCCAATAATTTAAGTTTTGAGTTTCATTTCAATAATTTCATAGGTAGCCTTTCCTTTTTAAAAAGTTGACTAGCATATTGATAATGTTTTGACTTTTGTTTAATTCAATACATTGAAGTAATAAAATTATAGCCATACAATGAAAAAGAAAATCAAATGTCTATTTGCTCTAATAGACTAGATATGTAGGTACCTATAATAAAAATTAAAATACCTACATTTTTTTAATAGAATCAAGTAATTCTGTAGCTGTATAGAAACATTGTTTTTAAAGTCATTGTCATAACGAATGCTAGCATTAACAAAATTCGGAATTATAGGTACCTACAGAAATTACCTATTTTTTAGAATTTTTAACTTTGTGCTACGTATTGGATACTAACTTTTTTTTTCTAAATTATTAAAAAAACATTGGAAAATAACATTAAGTACACCTGTAATTTTGGTCTGATTTATAATCTTGCCCTGCGGACAAGACCATCAAGGTCAGTGAAAATAGCTATCTTGATAATTACATATTTTGTTTACAGATTGACTAAGAGAAGTTCTAAGCCAATATTATGAAAGTATCATAGAAAAATGTAATTATATTATGTAGATAGGTATATAAAATAAAGGAGTACTAAAAAATTAAGATTGTAAAAGACCAAATAGAATGTAAAAATATACCCAAATGAAAAAAAATAGCCGTATTTTGGTCATTACATAAAATTATGGAATATGTCTAAAGCAAATAAAAAATGTCTATATACAAATCCAAAGAAAAAAAAATGAAAACGGTTAATAAGGTAAAAAATACCTATAAAAAAGAAAAAGGTAGGTAAGACAAAATAAAAAAGACTAGTAGACAAATTAACAATTGAAATAAAAAATCACCACCTACTTTGTTATTTAATGATGGCCATTTTGTTTAATGAGTAGAATTATTTTAATATTTCTCGTTCCTCATTTAATTTCAATTAATCTCAATCAAATGCTGATTTCGAGATTGAAACGTCGCGTCGTCGATGTAGAAAATTTGTCTCGTTAATTTATAGACATTGTCTAAATGATCTTCAGATGCTTGGGCAATGATATAAATATTTGACTGTCGTTTCTTTAATTAATTCAATTCATGAACATGATGTAAATAGGTATAAACAAAACAACAAAACAAGATTGCAGAACTACATAGGTACACCATTAGAACAATGGTTTTTACTCAATATAAAACACTGGCAGTAAGCGCCATTAAGAAATAAAGTCTTCTTTATTTCTAGGTTAAGTCAGTGGCGTGAAAGCTTGACCTCGCCAAAATTATCATCGATTGTCATTTCCCAGCCGTCTTTGACGCCGTTTTTTTTCCGGTCCCATGGTATTTTAACTCGTTTAATTAATTAAACAGCGTCAGAGATGTTATTAAATTGAGGATCGCTGTAAAATATGGCAATTGTCCCCGATCATAATTTCCACACTATCTTTAATTTCTATACCGTTCAAAATCGAAAAAAAAACGGCGTCATAGTGGTCTTTGACATAACAATCTGTTTAAACAGTAGGTAAAACTGGTAGCTATTATACCTATTTTATTATTAGACTTGTGTTTGTGTGTTTAACGCTAGCCGTATGCGTTCGACGCTAATGCCTGTTCACATTAGACCGTTAAAGAGTCGTTGGCAGAGAGGAAAACGGCAATTTACATTGCGGCACGGTTACGCAATTCCGATAAATTGCTACCAGCTTTTCTTTGCCCGTAATTCAGCGAAAAAACCGTTTCACGTGTGGTTTTTGTGTTGCGAAAGCCGAGTAGCTAGGATTCTTATTCTGCCGCATCGATAACTCAATTTGTTATTTAAAGGGATCAGAAAATGTAAAGTTCTTGTTATGTACCATAATTTTCTTAGACACTTATGTACCAGTTTTAGAACGAAAGAAATTGATCTCGAACATATTGAAGAGTACCTTAAATTCGAGCTTAAAATCCTCCAGCTTATGCCATCGACATAATACATAGTCATGATACAAAGAATACAAGGTATGATATTGCGCAGGTTGGTCACTACGTCACAGGTGATAAACGGCACCATTGGTCGGCAAGCTCCGCGCGCCAATTTCAAATTGTCAAACAGATGACACAATAAATGTGAAAATAATTTTTCAAATGTCAAACTCGATGATTTGACATAACTGTTGGGGTTATGTCCTAACATAGTGATCAAAATACAGGGTGGTCCGAACTGTATTCCGGAAACTTCGACAGCATATTCTGCAGATAAAAATAAATAAATAAGTTCGTATAAATGTATGTGTCACTGTAAATGCGGTAATGCGGTAAAACCTAGTTATTCCGATTTTTTTCAAATAATTTCTGAAGTAAAGTCAATATTTGGATGAAAATTGTTGTCTGGGAGTTTTTTTGACATGAGACATTTGATTTTGATGTCAATATGACTCCTACTTGTAGAGGACGCCACCTACATATTTTTAACTGGTTTGAGTAATGGTTTGATGAGATATTTGGAATCAGTCTTATCAATAACTGTCATCATTGACATAAATTAAACATTTTAACTAAATAGGTATTATTAGACCCAATGACTAAAGAACATAAGGACATGTAACGCCCCTATACGGGCTGCAGCAGAATTTGGGACCTTAGAGACCTTTTTTTTGGTGGCAAACAATGAGTCATCATTTGGTCACCAGCGACAATTTTAGCGATTTTTAATAGTTTGTGTGTAGTGTATAAACTTTATTACAATGGTGATTACTTGTTCAGCTTTCAAGTGTAAAAGCAGCAGCGATAAGAAAGAGCCAGGAGTTACGTTTCATAGGTAAATAAACAGTCCACTCCAACTTTTTAGCGTTTTCTTATTGAATTCGATAATTATTCTTCAATTTCAATTAACATCTATATATACTTGATATGTGCTATACGTCGATACTAGTTTTGTACCTTTTGTTAACATTTTAATACGTTTTTTTCGTAATTAATTAGGATGATACACCATAGGCGTAGTCAAAATAATTATCAAAAAATATTAATATTGCTTCAAACAGCTAGGTTAAGAAAAATATGTGCTACGGCACTGTTTGGTGACATCGTCACAATTTGCTCTCGGGTGTTATTTGTCCTTGGATTCTTTAGTCATTGATTAGAACGAAATCATAAATTTGAAATGATTTTGTGTCAAAAGTTCAACACAAACTGTTTTATCATCATTTTTTTCGAAGAAAAATTTATGATTAATTTAAAAAAAATAAAAATTTCCCAAATTTGTCATTTCAGTCAAATAACTATCTACTAAACATGTTTTTTTTTATCAATAATGACATGTATTGACTACTTCCATTCTAAATATCTTGAGAATGGTTACTTGTAGCGATTTTTACCAAGAGTCATTTTTTACGTAAATGTATATTCTTTCACTCAGTAGTTTTATACAGGTACGGACGGAAAGTTATTACTCTTCAAAACAGTTAAAACCTTGTTAAAACACATGTAGGTGGTGCCCCCTACAAATCGGAGTCATATTGACATCAAAATCGAATTTCTCATGTCAAAAAACTCCCAGACACCAATTTTCATCCAAATATTGACGTTACTTCAGACTTTACTGGTAAATTCAATAAAAACATCCAAAACATCAAGTAAATGTAATACGGTAGGTACAAAGAATCCTAAAATATGCGATTTTTTCGTTTCGTTTATGTTGAAAATACCGATTTGTCGAGAGGTGGAAGTTGGAGAACGACCAAATGAAAAAGCATAACTGGTATTTTTGTTCTTTTTTCGGATCTTTTCATTTTTGGCACATGAACCCGTAAAAATGCTTTAAATAGAACTCGTACGGTTATAAAAAATGCACATTCTTTCATTATATTTCATTAAAAGGCGTGTTTTACAGGAGCTACCTCAAATTGGACATTGATCTCGAAAAATCTTGCGAAATTTCTTTGATATTTAATTTCCCTTTGATTTGAATCAGTGCAATTTTTTGTAATTTTTAATCTGTTTTTTTTTAATTCGAATATTCAAAGATGTCTGGAAAATGGGGATGCAAACGATACATGGATTATTCTTTTTGCGATCTTATAAAGTTGGTTATACCCAAGAACGGTAAACTAATAGGATTGCTCATCCTCATAGGACGTACGTTCGCCTCTTCCCGCGCTTCAGCTGACAGTTGTGACGTCATTGTAGTCCTTGTCAAAGCCTTGTCATGATAGTGTGTATTATTAGTTGCCTATGGTAAACTTATA